ATTTGTTCCTCTTCAACCAAGTCTTTGTTCTTGACGTCTTTCAAATACTTGATTGTCACATAGAATGGCTTGATCAATAAATTATTTCAAAGATTCAACCTTTGACAATGTCAATAATAAAACTTTGATATTATCCTTTAATCTATATTGAAATTGATTTATAAAGGCTTTATCATTCTAATCCATGTCGCAAGTGAGGTTTTGGAATTTAGCAGCATATATCATGGTTGATTGTGATTCTTGTCATAAAAATAAGAGCTTGGTTTTTACTACTCTTTTTCAATCACTTTTTTTAAATGTGGCCGTAAACACTTTTAGGAATAAATTCAAATTATAAAGAAGTTGTAAATCATTTTTTATTAAAGGTGCAAATCAAAAGAGAGCACTTCTTGATAGAACTACATCTATGAATCCAACTTGAATAAATCCATCAAAATATTAGAAGAGATGGAATTTTAGATAGAGCTTGACTTGTTGGAAAAATCCTCAAAATTTTGATCTTGTTCCATTAAACTTCTCATGCATATTAATCCTTGTCCTTATTATACTTGAAGAAGCAAAACTCCCTGGATTTGGTTGTGAGGTCAATCTACTTCTTTCTTTCAATTGCACAACTTCTTGCTGCAAACTTTGAACTTCTTCTATAGGCATAGGCATAATACTTCCATAATTCACATTAGAAATACGTGAAATTTTCACTCTTAGAGTGTTGACAATCTTATGAAGATCTGTAATAATTGGAAATCTATTCTCACTTTTGCTAAGAGTAGTATTCATAATTTTTTCTTCCGCAGACAATTCAAACAAAAAATTTAAAAAATTAAATTAAATATAGATAATTTATAAATTTTAAAAATAAATTAAAATTTCTACAAATAGGGATAATCTACCATTTTAAAGAAAATAATCAGTGTTAAAAAATAAGATTTTTTTGTTTAAAAGAAAATAATTTGTAACCTTCAAAATATAATTGTAACGGAGAATAGATAAGATATTTGTATTATTGACATATAGCGATAAATAGTTAGAACCATGGAAGTTTTTAGAATTGGAATTAGATTAGTTGAACAAGTAGGATCTATTATAGAATATTCTATAAAGAATTTAGGATGATTATTTAAATAGGGCCCACTATGGAACATTCTAAAAAAAATTTAGGATGGTTATTTAGATAGAGCATACTATGGGACTATCTAGAAGGAGTTTAAGGTGGTTATCTAAGTAGGATCTATCACCTAGAAATATTCTAAAAAGTCTAGATGATATAATATTGAATTAGAATGACTATTGCCAAAAATAAAAAAACCAAAAAGTCTTGAAATACGACTTAGGATTAAAAAGGCATTGACAAGAGTGAAGAAGGCTTTATTTTTACCTCTATATATACTCTTAACTAGGAGCTACATAGCAATGTCCTATAAGACCTTCAAAATGTGTTGATTTTGCAAGATACATATCTCAAATTGTAAGCCAAGTTTTCTATATGAATGCCACATAGTTAGTTTGTTTTACAAGCTATTAATATGTAGTTAACTTGTTGACTAAGTTACTAACCTATCAATCAACTACAAACACATGTAAAAACAAAGTAGCATCTATAAAGCTTTTAAGAAGCTTCTTTAGAAGGTATTATGAAATTAACATATTTTTATCTATTTTTACATATTTCTACCTAATCATATAGATATTTACTAGAATAACTATGTATATCTGTGATATGAGGCTTTTGAATCTAATAATGCAAAGACTTTGTGATTTTTAGGTCCTAAATATACATCTATTATAAAATAAGGTGAGAGGTTTGAAGAGAAAATAGGAACTTTACTAGGTATTGCATATCATTCTATCCATACAATCCCTATTGTAACTAGAGAAACTTGTTTTTCAATACATTGTCTTCTTTGGTATTTGTGCTCCTCATTTTGTAATTGTGTTGCTTCTAAGGACAATGCTGAGCACTGTGATTAATTTCTCTATAATATGAGCACAAACCCTCTTCACGACGTCAAATCTTTTCTTACTCTATGAAGAGTTTAAAACTTATTCTAATAATTTATATTTATTTTGGCCTTAATGAATAAGTTTTAAAAAACCTAAGAACTACTTGTATGACTTGATTTATTCTTTTTTAGCCAAGTCTTTGTTTTTGATGTCTTTCAAAAAAATAATTTATTGTATGCAATGGCTTGAGCAATAAATTGTTTCAAAGATTTTGCCTTCAACATTGTGAATAACAAATCTTTGACATTATCCTTCAACTCATATTAAAATTGATTGATAAAGGCTTTGTCATTCTAATCCATGTTGCAAGCTACATTTTGGAATTCAGTAATATATATATAGTAGTTGATTATGATCTTTGCTGTAAAGATAAAAGCTTAATCTTTGCTATTTTTTTTTTCAATCACTATCTCTAAATGTAATTATAAACACTGTTAAGTATGAATTAAAATCATAAAGAAATACTAAATTTTTTTCTATTAAAGATACAAATCAAGAAAAAATACTTCCAAATAGAAATCCAACTTAAGTAAATCCATTTAGGTATTGAAAAGAATGCAACCTTAGATAGAGCTTGACCTGTTGCAAAAATCTTCAAAATTTTGATCTCATTCCATCAAACTTATCTAGCATACTAATCTATGTTCCTATTATATTTTGACAAGTAAAATTTCATAAATTAGATTATAAGTTTGATTTACTTGCTTCCTTCAACTATACAACTTCTTGTCATAGGTTCTGAACTTCTTCTATAGGCATAGGATTAGTGTTTCTATAGTTGGTATTCGTGATGCATGAAATTTCCACTCTAAAAGTATTGATAAGTTTGTAAAGATATGCAATATTTGTAAATCTATTCTTACTTCCACAAAGTGTAGCATCTATTATTTTTTCCTCCATTTCAAACTATTTAACAAATCTACAAGTCAAATTAGAAGAGAAAAATTCTCAATTTTTAATTTTAAATGAAAATTTCTACAAAAAAGGATAATTTGCACTCTTTAAGGAAAAATAAATAAATAAAAATAAATAAATAAATCATTGTTAAAAAACTAAATAGTTTATTTAAAGATGGATAATTTGTAACCTTCAAAAGACAACAATAGACATGAGATAATCCATTCATTTCTAACACAAGACAAGAACAAAAAATCAACACTTTTGTCAAACTGTCAAGGACATGAACATCAAAGAACTAAAATGTTAAATATATTCTTGTATCACTTTAAAAGACTATAAAATCACTCATAGATGATGTAGTATTAAACTAAAATGGCTATTATCAAAGATAAAAAAAACTAAAAAGACTTGAAACATGACTAAAGACTAGAAAGGCATTGACAAGAGTGAAGAAGGCATTACTCTTGCTTCCATATATACTCTTAACTAGGATCTATGTGGCGGTGTCTTGTAGGACCTCAAAAACATGTTGACTTTCCAAGATACGTTTCTTAACTTATCAGGCAAGTTTTTTACATATATGCCACATTATTAGCTTGTTTTGCAAGCTATCAATACATGGTTAACTTGTTGATCAAGTTACTAACCTATCAATCAACTACAAACACATGTAAAATCAAAGCATCATCTATAAAGCTTCTAGGAAGCTTCTTTAGAAAATATTATGAAATAAATATATTTTTATCTACTTCTACTTAATCATATAGGTAATTATCATAGTAAATATGTATCCCTATAATTGTATGTTGTCACTATAATTTTTTGAATTCAAAAAAAAATATTATGAAATAGATTATATTAATTTTTATTTTCTTTCTTTTCTTTTGTTATTATTATCATTGTTATAATCATAAATTGGAATCAAGTACTTATTGAACAAGAATCTTTTAGTATATCATTTTTTTATTCAACTTGATGTATTAATATATATTCATGCATATTTATGTGTATATGTGTGAATATGTATATATACACTCATATATATATATATATATATATATATTTATAAGGAAATATTAAATAGATCAAAAAATTTACTAAATTGATCCAACTATTATAAAAATAAAATGACCTCTAGATTTATTTCTCTGTTAATGGATCCAAAATTGATAAAAAACCAAATATATTCATTATGATTACCATATTCTTCATTGTAAGTAGGTCAATTTAGTAAAAACCTAGGCCTATTTAACATTCCTTCATATATATCTAATATAAGTTCATATAAAATCATATGACTATTCCAACTTTTGATTTGATAATACATTATAAATATTTAGTTTATATAAGAAAGTTTATTTGAATATGGAATAAAAAATAAAATATTTCAACAACTAATAACGAGTCAAATAAGTAATGTATGTAAAAAAATATGATATTTGTAATGCACTACACTAAAGTGATGTGTGTTGTAGGGAGGCAATTAAAGTGGAAAATTTGGACAAACAAAAATCAATATAAAAGGAAATATATATATATATATATATATATATATATATTAGACGAAATGGTTTCGGACTACTTGATTAATTTAAATATCAAAACTAAAAATAGGATACATTGTCAACCTAATCTCTTCTCATGAAAACTCGTACAAACAAAACAAAAAGTACAACTTTCTCATCTCCATGTTCCATTCCTTTGAGGAGAAAACACACAGTGCACTCTCATTGACTCTTGTGTTGTAGAAGAAAAAAGTTGAATGCCATCTCCCCATTGTGACTCCTCATATATATATATATATATTAAAAATTTTAATAACAATTTTCAAACACAATAAAGGTTTTGGCAGCATTGCAAAACTTCCCAATTAAAAAATCCTGGTAAAAATCTGAGTAGGACCTAGAATGATATTATTCTTTTCGTAGTTTGGGTGTCCATTAGGAAGTGAAAATTTTAAGCTAATTTATAGTGGCCAAAGTTTAAACGAATGTCATCCAAAACACTTCATCCACGAGGATGTCGTTCATGGTCCTTTTCACACCGCAGTCGCCGCGGTTGCGACGAGTCCGCGACGCTATTGCTTCAGCCGCTGTTTCGTTTTGGTTTTGGATTGTTAGTTTTGTTTGTTTCTTCGTTTGTTTGTTTGGTGATGTGTTCTGTTTCGTATCTTTTCCAGTTGCTGCTTCGGATTCGCACACGTAATGCTGTTATCTAGTTCCTCACAAGGAAACTGCACGCTTAGATTTGATTCCATGACGTGAAATTCCCACTCTCTTCGGAGCAGGGAGTGGGGATAATAGAGGGTTGGAGTGCAGCGGATTTGGAATCCCAGACTGGGTATGGCGTCCATTACTGCTTCGCCCCTGGGATTCTCGGGGGCGTCATGGAGCTCGTCCACAGCGACGTCGTCTTTGCGAAGTGGGTTTCTGAAAACGACTATTCTTTGGAGTGTTTTGCTTTGATTCTCACAGAGGAGGCGAGACAGAGAAGTAGTGGCTTTGGAGTTGATAGTCATGGCAGAATGTTGGGCATCTGGTCTGTTAATGGGTTTTAAGGACCGCGCTGTGATTTTGTTTCTGGGTTTAGGGTTTGAACTTTCGTGACATTTGTTAATTTCCTTCCGTTATGAAAATAAAAATTCAAATGGTCGCTGTTTGAGTTGATTAATGGACTGGTTTCCTGGGATTTGCTGGACTCGAGTGAGATTTGAGCGGATTTGAGCGAAAACAGATATTGACGAGGTTTTGGTGGAGGTGGTGATGCGTCGGACAATCGTCAGCTGAATAGGAACTGCCTTTTTTTTTTTTTTTTTTTTTTTTTTTTTTCATTGACACTGGTTGTGTTACGGTTTGTGATCATTTTGGGGGAACTCAACAGTGATTGTGGTGAAGTAGGTGATGCAAGTTTTCATGAGAGGGTTGACTTGAGACACTCATGTTGGCGTACCTGGCCTGCACGAAGTGCTGGTTATCGTGCTGTTGTTTCATCTGAGAATAGGTGAGCGAATTTCTCTTCAAATTTGTATCGTGTTTTTGGTCGCACTAAACCCCTAGGGTTTTATTGCTTTTCCAATTTGACGTAAATCATTGTAATTCGGGGATGACGGCAATATCTCTTGCCAGTGTCTTACGAGTCCCCGATTGGGAATTATCGGACCAATCGGCAGGGTCGTCTCAAGTGCCTCAACTGAATCGGAGAAGAAGCATAGTGAAGAGGGGGAGGTGCTTCGTCATGTTGGGAGCGAGCAATGGAGGTAGTTGCATCTTGCCTTCAAACTCACGATCTCCAGGAACTAATGAAAGCAGTGTTACAAAGTTGAGGTGTTTGAGAGGGGGATAAAGCTGCTGCAAAGAGGTTGGATTTTAGTTCATTAAAAGCTGTGTACCCTTGTCTGATTTTTTCAGGCGTGTAGCGAGAGGCTCGAGATCTGGCGAACCTCGGTCGGCTGCCCCAAAAGACGTCAACTTGAATGAGAGGTCCTCAAAACATGCGGATACCTCGGTTGAATTCGGTTCCAAGCGACCAGAAACTGCCATTAACTGGCGGGAGGCATGGAAGTTCGCCGACGGGGACTCTCAAAATCACTGGCGAATGCGGCGGGGAGAAAGGCCCCCACTTTCAGACGACGGAGCTCGTCGAGTCATTAAGGAAAGGGAATCTTACGAGCGCGCCCTACGCAAGTCCGGAGTACCAGCTGAAAACATGCCAAGGAAATGGATAAGTAGAACTCCTGAACAGATGAAGCAGTATCTGTCAGACAACAAATGGCAATGGCGTTGGAAGCGTCGCTACACCCGTCCTGTCGAAGCAGCTATAGCTGCTGTTCGTCAAACGTCGTCACTTCCCCCAGAAGATGTTGACATGCGCCAGGCACAGAGGCCTGACCTGAGAGTTGCAATCCTCAGAACAATTTTTTGACATTTATTTACTTTCGCTCAAGTGTATGTCGGCAATCTCTAATTCGGGAATTGATTGTATAAATATCATGGTTGTTTGAATTCTTCATTTTGAAATTTTTGTACGGTGCTGGATGCGGTTGCAGGTGATGAAACCATTTGTTAAAGACCTCGGTTTCCGTGACATGTGTATCGTTCTTAAAGAGCAGCGCGGTTGGCGACAGGCTCGAGAGTTTTTTGAATGGATGAAGCTTCAGATTCCTTACAGTCCTAGTGTGATCGCCTACACCACCCTTTTAGGGATATATGGGCAGGCTGGTAAATTGACTCTTGCAGAAGAAACTCTCTCTGAGATGCTTGATGCTGGAGTAGAGCCTGACGAAGTGGCAGGTGGTTGCATGCTTGAGGCTTACGCAAGATGGGAACGATACGATACTTTGCTCGAGTTTTACGAGGCCATGCGGCAGCGGGGCTTGGTACCGTCAGCTCATGTGTACAGAACTATGATTGTGACATTGTATAAAGCCGAAAGGCATTCAGATGCATTGATGTTGTGGGAGGACCTTTTGGTGGAGAAGCTGGAGCCTAATTTTGTGTTATATGCGATTATTATTCATATACTGAATAAAGAAGGGCGAACCGAGGATGCCGTGCACACCTTTAAGGACATGCGAGCAGCTGGACACTTGCCTGATGAATTGTTATACAACACGATCATTTGTGCTCTCGGGAAGCTTGGCAGGTGCATTATTTGGAACTATTGTAGCTTGCATCAATCTCGGCTTTGCAGGAAAGCAGTTCTTACGTCGACCCTCCCACTTATGAGGATCTTGAGGCTAATATATGTGTCTGTGGCAGGTATCAAGAGTCGGAAGCTTTATATCTTGATATGAAGAAACAGGGAATCGTCCCATCTAAATTTACATACACGATTATGATAAATGTATGGTCGAAAGCTGGACGCTTTGCAAGTGCTGCGGAGACACTTGCGGAAATGCAAAGGTCCGGATGCATTGCTGATGAGGTGGTTTATTGCTCCATAATTAATATGTATGGGAAGGCAGGCTTGTATGAGGAAGCTGAAAAGATTTTTAAAGAGATGGACACGTTAGGCCTTCTGTCTCATGAAAAAAGCTATACGTCCATGGCAAAAGTGAGAGCTGAAGCTGGTCGGCATGCCGAAGCTTTGAAACTTTTCGATGTTATGGCAGAAAAGGGTCTTCTTACAACACGAATGACTTGGAATACTCTTCTACATTGTTTTGTTAGGATAGGAGATGTTGAACAGGCAACGAAAGTGTACAATGACATGGTTGAAGCAGGGTCTGCCAATGTAGTTACTTACGGTAACATGATAAACCTGTATTCGAAGTTTCAAATGGTGGAAGACGCGGAAAATCTGCTGGCTGAAATGCGTGAGTCTGGCGTGAAACCTGATGAGTACATATATGGATCTTTTGTGAAGTTATACTGCAATTCCGATATGATTGACAAAGCTACAATGGTGGTGCAAGAGATGAAGGACGACGGTCTAGTTCCTGATCAGATTATCAAGACAAACTTGATGCAGGTAAATCGAGAAGATGGATAAATCAAGAGGTTCAGAGTTGGCGTCGGTTTGTATTTCAATTCAAAAGACGTGGGGTGGTCTAAATTTCATGAAACGTACTGTAGTAAAATGTTGGTGACATCCTGTGTGTGATCGCCGTGCGTATTCATGTTTTTCCCATGCTTGAAAAATCAATTGGAGGTATGTCGAATATTATCCATCCAATTGTTTCATTTCTGTTCTTCTTTTGGTCCAATATACCATATTGATGTTGGGTATTGAATAATGATTGCTTACAGGCTTATGGAAGGGTTGGGCGATATGATGAAGCCGAGGAATTATTTTGGAGCTTGCAAGATCCAGGTGCGGTGGCTGTTAGCAGTGTGCTAAGTATACAGGAGTCTGTGTGCAATGAGAGAGAAATGTTTCCTCTAGGCCAAGCTCTTCAATCTCCTATTGATACACAAATACTCAATCAATTGCTTATTAAGCGAGCGGAGGCAGGTTTGTTGCACACTCCCATTGTGTCCGAACGAGGTGTCTTATAACTTGTTTAAGGGGGATAGTGAAAAATCACTTGTTGGGCTACGTTCTATGTTCTGAGTAAGTTTATTAGAGTGAGTTGTAAACTTCCAGCATCTTCTACGGGTTAAGGCTGATCACTTGTCGATTATAGTTCTAGGATGAATGCTTTCTTGTTGGTTCCTAACGGTTTGGCATAGTTGTGATGTGTAAATGTGATCAGTTGAATTTGTATTACAATATTAAGTAGCAATATGAATTTAGATTTTTTTGCTTGAAGATTGATTGAAGATTCGCTTATTGATTCCTTTTCGGATGAATTCATGATACTTAAAAATCTTCACTCCCAGGTGAATTGCGAGAAGCAGAGCTTTTACTTGACAAATTGGTGGAAGCCGGTGGCTGCATAGTCGACACAGCAGCGGTTCTCATGATTAATTTATATGGTAGAAGGGGTTTATTTCAGAAAGCCAAAAGTCTGTTCAACTCGTTGCAGAAGAAGGATCATCCTCCTAGCTTATATGTTTACAACACTATGATCAAGCTCTGTGCGGTGTGCAAGGAACTGGAAGAGGCTATCTTTGTATTCGACAGGATGGAAGAAAATGGTCGAATGTTTGATGCTGTGACCGTTAGCATTTTAGTACATGCCTATACCAAAGAAGGTATGGAAATAAAACTTCTGTTTATAGGTTTATATTTGGTGGTTGCTTCTGATGAGGAAATGAGAGCTCTGACTCTGAATTCATGTATTCTGATCACTACATGTTACGGATATGAGCGTGGTCAATGTTCAGATTTGTTGAATTGCATATGCTCGTTGAGTGATGCTCGTCACATGTACTTCCTGTATTCTGTACGCATCGAAGGTCTGCTGATGTACGTTTTGATATGAGACGAAGTAAGAAAATTCTTCTATTTTCTTTAAACGTGACATTGTCTTCTAACAGGTAGATTCAAAGATGCTGCTGGATTGATGAAGAGGGCTAAGAAAGTGGGTGTTGCAATGGACACTGTCGCTTACAACACTTCGTTGAAAGCCAATCTGAAATCAGGTTTGTTGCATTATGTGCGCAACTTTTAGGCGACTGTTTGGGAATGAACATGTATTGAAAGTGCGACCTTTTTATTTTTTTTCACATCGTCCTAATTTATGTTATCTCATTTTATTATGTTCTAAAAGAACCCTGTAATTTCTTCTTCTTCGTCTGGTCTGAACCAAAGATTTTCCACCCATGTTCAAATGTTTGTCTAAATTTTAGTGTGGTGAATCTTCTGTGGGGAGCAACTCAGGCAACTTAAAAGGGGCGCTAGAAGTTTACGGGGAAATGCAAGAAGCGGATATCGAGCCATCGGCTAAAACCTACACCATCCTAATTAGGTGAGTTATCGAAAGTTGAAGCAAAGAAGGTTTTGTGTCTAATTAACACTTCTGATGGACGAGTGAGTACAGAGATAGTTTTTGAAAATATTCATGGAGTCGCTTCAGGTTATCTAAACTTGTATAGTAAAACAGAAGTAGCTGTGCTGTGTCGATGAATTGTAAAGTGTGTCACAAATTGAACAATATGCGTGAGCAATTATCTTCCTTTACAGGTTCTACATTTTATTCTAAGCGGCAACCAGCTAGTACATAATACTCATCATGTCGTGATGCTTACCTATGCTCGTGGCCATTGTGGCAGCTTATTCTCAAAGCTTGGAGACTTGGGCAGGGCAGTACAAGCTTTTGAAGTGCTAAATTCATCAGAAGTCGGCGCAGATGAAATCGCATACAGCCAAATGATACACTGTTATGGTTGTGCAGGTTGTTTGGATATATCCTTGTTTGAATCTCATAGTGTTCAATTTACATCATTATCTTATTTGGATTCGTTTGCGAGTGGAACATAATCGGCACCTTTATACTGAGAAGTGCTGAATGTACTTATAACTACGTATCAGGTCGACCTAAGGAAGCTGCAGATTTGTTTCAAGAAATGGAGACGAAGGGCTTCAAGCCGAATGAGGTAAATACAACCTTTCATATTGCTCTACGGATGTGTGTTGAAGAACAGACTTTCATCGTTTATGAACAATAAACCTGCGAATATTTATTCAATTACAGTAACAATTATTTTCTTGAATCTAGACAACTAAGTAGTTGCTTTCACTTTTTAATGTTTGATGGACTAAGGTGCATGTGCTGTCGGTAGGTGATCTACAATAATCTACTCGACGCGTTTGCTCGAGCGGGGCTCTTTGCAGAGGCTCGGCTACTGTTGAGCGACATGCGAAGGAAAGGCTGTCCTCCCTCCAGTGTAACATACCTACTCCTCATGTCTGCGTATGGTTCCAAGGGAAAACCAGCTGATGCGGAGTCTCTGCTTCACCTTATGCAAGATCGTGGCTTGTATCCTGATTGTCGACATTACAACGAAGTCATTCGAGCATATGGTAATGTTGGGAAGCTAAGTGATGCATGTCGTATATTTTATGAATTGAAAACAGTAGGTATTGGACTGGAATTGGGTTGCTTCAGAACACTCGTAAAAATTCATCTTGATCACGGCCAATTTGAGCAAGGATGGCAGATTTATAAAGATTTGAGCCAATCGTTCACAGTAGATCAGAATCTCTATGGCATTGCAGTAGAATTGTGCATAGGAGCAGGTAGGCGTACCGAAGCTGATCAACTGAAGGTAGAATTAAAAGGCAAGGGCTTCAGTTACAGGGATAAACCTCCTTTTCCTAGGCCGGTGCCAAGCATTTGGAAGAGGTCAGATCATCTGGCTCCTGTTACTGATACTGGTTCACTCTCGAATTGAATATATGCGTAAACTCAACTCTTTTTGTGTCCCTTAAACATCCTTGTTTCATTTTGCCGGTTTTTGAGCCAGTGTATTATGGTGAAGCTTGATCCTTCAGAATGAAAATACTGATTGCTTTTATGCTGAAGCAACTTAACATTGACCAAAGCTGTGAGGCTACATGTGTGTCCTTTCACTTCGGGGACATTAACAGGCTCCCAGCTAATTTGGTCTCTATTATAATTTCTACTATTGCCTTCTTGAACATCAACAAATGCTCCTTTGTAATGCCATAAAAACTGTGCCTCTGAAGGATATTAGGATGCTAACCAGTAATTATAAGTTTGAGCGAGTGATGAAGTTTGGTTTGGATTGATATCATTACGAACAAGGTACTACTCTGCCTGAGAATGATCCTGATATAGTGTGTGTCGTGTCAAAGGCATTCTTCCCCTTCCTGAATGAACTTAAATGTCCAGGGTATTGAAACTCTATTCAGTTGAAGCATTTTGCAAATGCTCTTGGTTTTAAAATAGTTGTGTTTTCTTGCTATTGCCAAAAATATGTCATGTCTGCCAACTCCACAGGAAAATAAAAAATAAACATGAATAGAAATGCATTGTTATTTTAGTGTAGTCTTTGAATTCAATTCCCACTATTTGGATTGAAATTCGGGAATGTACAGTTTCGATACGCTGTGATAAGATATTACGCATTAGACTTATGAATGTAGTTATCAAAAGATCCTTATTTCAATAAATAATTGCTTCTTGGTATTAATTTTTTTCACTTTTAACTTACACTTGTGGGTAGAGTTCATTTTCATCTCTCTCTACATATGTAATCCAAACAATTTATATGTATGTTTATGTGTTCATATATATATATATATACATATATACCAGAAATAACATAATCTGTTGATATTCATTATAAAAACATGTATAAAAACTAACCTAATAATACAATAATTTTAACCTTCTATTCAACATACAACCTTCAACCTTATTAAATATATTTATGTATTCATGAATATTGATGTAGACAAATTTGTATTACTTTGGGTTTGTGTTTCCAAAATTTGGTAATTCCATCAGATCTGAACTTTTAGATCAAATACTCTAACTACTACTTATGTCCAAAGTGAATCTGGTCATCAAGATTTTAAAATGTGAACACTTTAACAAATCATAGTTTGAATGATAAGGCCCAAGTTGGAAGTTTCCTTTGGGATATCCATTTAAGATATCCACACCATTATTTCCAAATTGGAGTCACTCCCCACCACATTTCTCTTTAATAACATTTATCAGGGTTAGGTTGGGTTGGCCCAATGGTCCACAATTTGAGTTTGCCCACTATGAGAAACATGCCATGGAGATTTTTCATATGTGGGGGGAGCAACCTCCGAGGTTTTTCATATGCTCTGTTGGCATTTTGGGATCCTTAGTCCCCTTGTTTGGACATGGTCCTTGTGAGGGCACCACCACCACCACCATTGGGGCATGGTCCTTTTTACACTAGCCATGAGATTTTAGGGTTTGCCCATGTGGGTGGGGGTTTGTAAGCCAATGGAGAATGTCAACACTCATGGGAAATGCATGTGGTGAGGTTTTCAAGGGAGGCCGTTATAGGAATTGTTTGTGAATTCTCAGCACATTTTTAATATGAAATGTTTCATGTTAGATTACATTACTATGCATCACAAATATGGCATATTGTCTTCTGAAATCATACAAGTACAAAAGTGATTTTGAAAATGAACGCATTGGTTGTAATGGAATGAAGATTAAGAAAAATAGAGCTTATCTTGGAAGTGAAACATTGTACATAAATTATTGAAAGAACTTTAGCATCCATAACAAGTATAAGTGATTTTGTGTAAACTACATTATAAGTGTTTTGAACCTCCTCATTATTAAAAACTGTTGGTGCTTTGAACTTTTTATTCTACATAAACCATATTGATAAACATACTTTTATCAAAATATTTTAATGTTGTTTTTAAAAGTTCATACTTTTCGATTTCGGGTTTCATTCCAAAAGTTTATATTTTGTTGTTTTGTTATTTTGTTATAGTTAGTAAATATTTTGAACCATTGTTTTCTAGAAAGTAACATTTATGTTGTGAATCATTATTAAGAGGCAACTATACTGTGAACAATATGAATCTCATGATTACGTGGATGTGATTAATGTTAATTGGTTATACAGAAAGTTTTCAAAATCAACAAATATTTACCAAATGATAGACACTGCTAACTTTTATCATTAAATGGATAATATTTATATTTTGAGTTTTATTTTATTGAAGTACAGTTTTTTAAAATTGCAATAGCATGCTTGCTTTGTTGCACCAAAGATTTTCTTCTCATTACAAGAGTGTTATCTTACACAAATAACTTGATGAACTGAACCAGTTAATCATTACAGTTTAGACCATTAGAGATAACAATGCCAAATTTGCACATAATATATTTATCATTTACTATTTTAATGAGTGTTTGTCATTGATCAACTTCAAATTCTGTGAAAAAGGACTTTGTATCTTTAGGGACACAGATCTGACCTTTCATGTTGAAATCTTGATTTTGTGACCACTATTGAAACCATGTCATATGTGAATTTTATTTCTTTATTATTTTATTTAGTGTTGCTCGTTGAAATGCTTTAAAAAAATCATGGCTCTTGTGCTGCAAAGAAACTTATACATGTGTATATATGTATATATATATATATATATATATGCTCAATTTTGAATATTTCATGAATGTATACATTGTCCATTCCTAAATTTTTATTATTATTATTATTTTTTTTTTTTTCAAGAGTTTCAAATTCTAGGTGTGAATTGTACATATGTTAATTCTTTCTTACTATGCCAAGTTAACATATAATTTTTACAAAAAACATTTGTTGAAGGAACTTGTAAACATTCGTTTTTTTTTATTGACAAAGTGCAACATACTCACCTTATTCATGGGGATCAATTTTCGATCCATAGTATACGGTACTTGTGGTGTAATCTAATACAAGATTTTTAAAATTTTTATTAACTTTTTTTTCCAAATAAAGCGTAAACAAAAGAAAAAGACACAAACTCCTTTTTCGATACGTCCAAACCCCACACATTTGAAGTCCCATTTCCCCGCCAATTCGGCGTCCCAATAATTTCCCCATGCCAGGCAAATCGGTCCAGGCACGCTTCCACATAATATTCTCTGATGTGGCAAGTCCAGATTCACAAACCTTGACCTTGTGGCGCGGCCACGCGGCATATTCTATGTGCTTCAACCGGCCTCGTCATCAGGGATCCAAGAGCCGGATCCTTGTCAGGTGTGAAAAGGGTTATCCAAGAGCTGGATATTTGTTTTTACCGCCAGGTGTCAGGTTGCGGGTTCAAATGGATGAAATCGAATAAGCTGGGTGGATATGGTGGCAGGTACCGGCTGATGCCGGTAAACCGGTCATCGAAGGCTTTCAAATACTACTGAAGGGCGGGTGAGTCCAGGTGTGTAATGTTTTGTTCTGTTTGCCACTCTCTCTCGCAGTATCGATCTCCCTCGCATCGAAATCCCTTGTCAATTTCCGATTCCTTCGTTGTGATCCTCCTGTATTGCAGTTGACGTTGCGTTTTTGTCCACAAGGTAATAAGCTGACTCTATCTTTAGAGTAAGCCAATCATCTGTGTTGTGCGGGTGATTTTAGTTGGAGCTTGAGAGTGATGGAGTTTTGTCGTTTTTGTCTCTGGAGCTGATGAGCAGATGCTGTGGATTACGGTTTCTTGTGTTGGTGTAGAGGTGAATTAAATCTTTTAAAATGAATCAAATCGAGTTCTGCTTCTTTATTTTATTTTATTTTATTTTGAAATTTGTGAATTGGAGCTTGAGGTTTGTAGCGATGCGTGTGATGCAGAAGGTCGGAGAGGGGCTGAACACTTCGTATGCCGCGCATGGTTTTGTTGATGTTGATTTTTGTGCAACAGTTTGCGTGTCGGGGCGTTTATTCCAGCTAGCGCACTTGCATCACAGTGTGAGGTTTCGGGAAGAAGAACTTGTCTCTCGTGTTTATTCCTTCGTTTCGTTGAAATGGGCAATATGTGTTTCAGTGGAAATCGCGATCGTGTTGACCGGAAAAAAACAGACAATCCAGGTTTAGGTCTAGCATTCTTTCATCTTTCGAAATTTGATTGTTTTTTTTTTTTTTTTTTTTTTTTTTTTTTTTTCTCCTGCAATAGGACTGTTGCGATAGATGATGTGATGTGGAAAGGATTTATCAAGCTCTCTTCATTGAGCGCTAGTACTTTAGGCTGATCAGAAGTGTGCCTATGTTGTTTATAACAATATCCTGTCCTGCATCTGTGTGAGCCAGAAGACCTTTCTTTTTTGGATGCTAAGCTGGAATTTCGTGGCCCAAATCGTCACAGGGTTTGGTGTGGCATTGTCTCATGCTGTTCGCCGAACTCTGATAACCTGCGATTCTCCTTTTTGCAGCAACACCATCGAAAACAGAAACACTATCGACAGCAGAAGCACCATCGACGACAGAAGCACCATCGACGACTGAAGCACCATCGACAACTGAAGCACCATCGACAACTGAAGCACCAGCAACCACAGAAACACCAGCGAAACCAGCGAGACCAGCAAAATCTAATAAGCACGGAAATGTTATCGTCATAAAGAACGCGAAAGGTTTGGAGAATAAGCTGAACGAAGCTAAGGCCGCTGGTAAAATTGTAAGAGCGATGCCATCTTTTCCTTCTCTCCTTGCGCTACTTTTTTTTGGTGTCATTTTGCAATTATTTTTGTATTCTTTGGCGTGCCAGAGTTGTGCTATTGAGCGAATGCCGTGGCTTACAAAATCATTATCACTTGCTGATAATTCGGTTACCTCACAGATTGTCGTCGATTTTACTGCTACTTGGTGCAGCCCATGCCGAACGATGTCTCCCATCTTTGCCAAGTTAAGCAAAGAGTACTCCGACATGGTTTTCCTCGAGGTTGATGTCGACAAAGTTCAGGTACCGGCACGATTGCTTGTGACGGAGATTGCCCGTTGGTGTTATTGGAAATGAAGCTGCTCCTCATATGTAATTGATCAACACGTGTTTTATAATTGATGACCAGTTTAAATACAGGTTCATATAGTCTTCTGTTTCCTCTCGTTTCTTTAAGTTCGTCGTTATGTTCCAACGGAGTTTTTGTTCTTTGACTTTGCAGGATGTCACAGCTAAGTATGAGGTTCTTGCCATGCCAACTTTCTTGTTTATCAAGGATGGTAAACAAGTTGAGAGGCTTGTTGGGGCTAACGACGAACTCGGGAAGAAGTGCAAGCATTACAGTACTACCCACGTTAGTGTGTGACGAGCATGCCAGCGTGATGCATTGTACATAATGGCCTTCAAGGGGTTAGGGAGCTTCTGATTATTTGGCTCCTATATTTGGGTTGCTACAACGATTGGCTTCGAGTCCACCAAGGTTGTACATATGACCTTATTTTTGGAAGCAAAAAATTGTTTCACGTTTCTATTCTGGTTGGTCCCCCAGTGTCTTTTTTTGTTGTAAAGGAAAGGATCTGTGTCTTATTTGTCGCTTGTTTGTGGCAAGAATGTTCATCCTGAAGCTTTGTCTGTTTGAAGGGGTAACAAGTGCAATGCTGGTTCGATGATATTGTTCGGCAGATGCGGATATGGTTGATGTATTCAGCGTTATGTTTCCCTTAAAATCTTCGTTAAGTTGAAACAGTCTAGAGACCGCTAGTGCATGCTAGTCAGAATGTCCGTAGTTGACTTGGTTTACTGAGTCAAAGATGGCGGAAAGTTTCCTTGCCATCTTGAAATGTATTGTTCCGTATAGATTCGGTCATGCGGAAAGTGTGTGACCTTTTTGCTTGTATTACCTCTCCTGAATCTTAATTACTTGGATTTAACGTTTTCCTTTCTTCTGCACTGTGTACTGAACTATAATTTTTGTTTTGTTTTGTTTTTTTTCCCCCTTATTGTAGCATCTTTCTAAAATACTCCTGACCGCTGGCAATACTTGGATACAGCGCGGTACTTGAGACTGGCAATTTGTGATCGACCATTTTATCAAGCGTTTTCAGAATACGAAATCAATGAGACTTGGGCTGCGTGATATCATGGTTAAGTTTTTTCTTAAATTTTTTTTTTGACACATTTGAAGATCACTACATCTATCGCATTTGGGATGATGTTACAGAATTGATCTCCAGACCAGTCCAGGCTTCCCCCAGCGGACCAGGGACGTTGATAATTATTGTGTACGATTTCAAAGCTTTTTATAACCCAACATCCTGATTGTAGGCCTGGCACAAACGGGTGTACTGTTTGCTCAACATTTGTATGGACGTGGTAAGCAGTTCACTCGTAAAAGTGAGGATCACTTCTAATGAACCAGTGCTAAACATCTGCGCATTCCCACGAGTATTGTCCTCAAAATCCAAGAGGAATTGCAGGAGATGCTGCTAACCTGTCAGGTTAGATTTAGGTTTAGGTACGAAGGCTGCCTACTATGTCTGCTAGGTCAGCCTTCCGAATGAGAACATCCCAAGGGCAGCACTAACTCCATTCACTCTTCGTGCTCTGTTATGCAATGTCGAGCCGTGATCTCAAAGATGCGAACGAGGGACTGTGAAAAGGATGCCACCTTCAAACAAAGCCAAAGTTGCATGCACCGAATTTCAATGGACATGGGCTCTGAAGTAGATGGGAGAAACAAAATCGGTGACAGCAGGGTTTTTCAAGAGTAAGTTGTCTTGTCTTTCAACCAGACTGCGTTTGTAGTTGCTTCAAGTTCTTCAGAGATTGTAAAATATAATTTGTGAATTCAAGGTACGAAGCTTATGCTCATCCTGGAATGTGGCATCAAAAACATATATTCTATCGGCACGAGTTTCAGTTACAATATTGAGAAGACTTCGGTCGATGTGAAAAAGCTTTACTGTCGCTGATTCTGGATCTTTTGAAGACAGGCACTGAACGGAGCTTTGTCATTCTTACATGTTCCTGCAGCAAACCTTGGCAACATCCAGCAACTGACCTTGATCTTCGAGCTACATATCGTTTGCGGCTTCAACAAACTCTACTAATCTCGTCAATCATTCAGCATGCACTTCACCAAGGACTTTTTTAAAAATTTCACAGTATTGCCACTTGGAAACATACCCAAAAGCATGAGAGGAACCACATGAGCTAAGCTGTGATGTTCCTGATCAAATTTTTTATGTCATTCTGTTATTTTGTAAAAGCAACGGATTTTCTTATTAGTTAAAGTATATAGATTTAAGTTGTTGACTCTAGGTTGATTAAGGTGTTGAATGATTTACCTCCCTTGCAGATGGAGGTGTACTTAGATTGTATAAAGTTAAATGTATCAAATATGGCTAAATTTGAAGTAGCATAACATTTACTAATTAAGTTAAGCACGGCCCTTTACATCCAAGTGAATATAGACTGTAAGAACTGATAATAACAAAAGAAATCTTACAGTTATAGATATTTGATGAATATGTAAGATATTATGATGTATAATTTATGTGATATATGGTAAGAATAAAGAGAATTTGTGTAGGAAATAATAATCAAAAAAAAAAAAAAAAAAAAAAAAAAAAAACATACAAACAAACACAAGCACACACATGCATACAAAAAGTATATTTGAGCCCTCTTAATGGTCAAAATTGATTTTTTTTACACTTTGTTTTTATCAACTAGAGTATAAATTTTAGTTTTTATAAAATGTTCTTAGTAATAGAGTAGAACAACCATAGTTTTCTTAAAGTTCACAAAACATTTTTCCTAATTTTAAAATTATGTGAAATCATTTTTATAATCAATGAAAATTGTAGTACTTTGTTCTCCTTCTTATTGTTGTAAGTCTTGTAGATTGTTACACAATCTAATTTTTTTGGCATACTTTTATAAAATACTATAATTCAAAATATTAACACTGACAAAATAAAAAGAAATAATATTAATAGTATTTTTATTAATAGTACTACTATTCGTGTGATTGATTTGAAGTTTCAAAGCTTTAAACAGTTGAAGAGACATAAAATTTAGATTGTCCCCAAAGTTTAAAATATAAAAGTTAAAACCTTTAATTAAATAGGATATGTGTATTATGAAATAGTTATAATTTAATGAAACAAGATTTTTTTTTGGTATTTTATATATATATATATATATATATTTATCTATTGAACTTCAAATTTGAGTTCAATTTATCATGGTTGAATTGTTTGGAGCTTTAAATTTGCTTTAATACTCAAAGATTCTGATTCATTTAAGATTCCACCATTAGATTCATTTTAATGAAATATGTAGCAATTGAATTCTGTATTAATTTCTTAACACGATGAAGATTAAATTTAAATTTAAAATTTAACATGCTTACAATAAATTTTGATAACTTTCAATGATCTTAAAATAAAAAAGCTGAAAATAATTTTAAAAATTTCTAAGACAAACATAAATACAATAAAGAATTTCATATAATAGCAGCTAGAGCTTATGAGGATTTAAAATAACACTTAATGTCAGTTATTTGTTAACATGCTTACACAACACCCCCAACCAAAGATGTTCCTCTATGACCGAGTCGTCGGAGCCAGGCGCGGTTGCAGGCCCCTATTTTCCAAAAACCAGTTCTCAACGGTTCTCATGGTAACCGGATCGCACAGGTTCTCAAAGGATCTCACCGGTTCTCATGGTAACCGGATCTCACAGGTTCTCAACGGATCTCACCCGTTCTTATGGTAACCGGATCGCACAGGTTCTCAACGGATCTCACCCGTTCTCATGGTAAGCGGCAAGAGGATATGCGATCCCATAGATGATACAGCCGCATCATCCAAAAGCATAGATTTCGAAATCTAGAACTGGAAGAGATGGATGGAGGGAAGGGAAGCAAGGAAGAGAGGCTCCATTTTGCAGAGTGGGCTCGCTCTGCTGGGACACATACAGACACACACATTTTGCAGGGTCTCGGTTCTGCGTTAGGGTTTGCAGCGAAGGCGATGGCAGCGATTGCAGCTTCCATGGGGAACGGCTCGCACGTTATGGACCCCGCACCGTCATCGTCGCCTAACGGTGAGGCTGATGCTGCTGTGCGAGAAATTTCGCAAAATGGTGATGTCTCTGATGATCCCGGTGGCGTTGAGGCGATTGATGGAGGTGAGCAGGCTGGAGGTGCCGAGGGGAGGAAGGCTAAGGAGGCAGAGAGGAGGAGGCGCAGGCGGACGAAGAAAAAGAAGGGACCTAAGAAGGAATTGACTCAGACAGCGGATCAGTCCGAGGACAATCAGAATGTTGATGAGGTGATTTGTTTATTTCTTTTATGTTTTGGTGTTCGCAGGGAAAAATAATGTTGATTTTCGTGTCGACCCTCGATAGGAATGATAGATTTTTGTGCCAAGGGTTTATTGACGGATGTAGGTGATTTTATTTGTTTGCGGTATTTTTATACTGCAGGATAGTATTGAATTTCGTCTTTGTTGGTTGGGGTTTTTCCCCCTAGCGTAGTAACGCGGAAAGTTTGTTTCTCAGAGTGTTTGATTCTGGCGGGCCTAATTCAATCATGGTGCGGGATTCGTTATCTGCATGATAATCCGTTGATGGTGGGTATTGTATGCGTTGCCAAGTATGAATGCCAGAGAAAATTTTCTGTTAGAAATATAGCACTGTCTTTCAACCTGTGTAGTTAATCGATTGAGCTGAGGAGAGTCGCCCATTTAACTGGACCACTGTTTGAGGCCCAAAAGGACTCTGTTCATACTATTGAAAGAGCTACACTCGGAAAGAGCCTGTATTGGATATAATCAACCTCTGCATGGAGTGTTTTTGGGTTTCATCTTTTTCCCAAGTTATATGTTGTAAACACCTGTTACTCTTTTTTCATTTTCAAGAATTTTCCTTTGTTGAGGCTGATGAAGTGCGTTTATCCTTTGTGATAGCAGCCTGAAGAGAAGGTGATGGTTGAATATATATCAGCAAAGCCCGCCTTTGAGGACGCAGATGGGAATATGGATCCCGCTATACAGGATTTCTTGAGGGTTTTTGAAAAATTTTCAATTCCAGAAGAGATGTTTCAAGAAACAATTAAGGTACGCACGTTCTTTTCGATTTGAAGATCTTACATGTCTCACTTATCTTAATAACAGAAACTTACAAGATTCGGTTTGTTAGTTTGCTATAGAACTTCAGTTGCAATGGCTGGTAAACTCCTACACTTGCTATGAGCTCCTTCGTATCATAGCTCAAACGACTAAAAATCTATATTGTTGTAGATTTAGATTACAGTTTTGCAGATCGTGGATATTACTTGGCTCATTAAACTTCTTTATGGTCCTAAAATTCCTTTATTTAACTTACTAACTTTCTCCTTGTCAATCCATCTATTTGTAGCGGTCTTAGAGACATTGATCAGTGATGGGATCACGTCAAGATTCTCATATTCGGATTATTTATTTATTTGTTTTTGATAAAGCAGAATAATGAGCCAGAGGAAACTCAAATAGATGAGCCGAAGAAGAAAAAGAGCGATTCAGATGATTCAGACGACGAAGATGATGATAAAGACAAAGAGAAGAGTTTATCGAACAAGAAGAAAAAGGTGAGCTTTTCGTTTGAAACGCCGCGACTTATTGCCACTTAACTGTGCGTTTATTTTGTGTTACGAAATTGGACCTTTTATCAACCCGCTCCATTTACGACTCTCATTATGGTTGGATTTGATTTACATGGACAGCTGCAACGAAGGATGAAGATCGCTGAGCTGAAGCAGCAATGTATGAAACCTGATGTTGTCGAGGTAAACGTTTTGCCCATTTTGCTAGAGTAGTTGCCAGTTAAAGAGGCTTATCGGAAGCGTTCCCTCTTCAAGTTGGTTGACTTATGGGTTGGGTCTGCAGCTCATACGTATTTACTCGTCGCCCCTGAATCTAGATCTGTGTGTGCGTTGGCATCACAAACTTCGATTTGTTTGTCATAGATTGTGCTTGTTTAAGGGGGTTGCTCATGCGCTAACAATCGTCATTGGTGGTCTTTGTGTCTGAAATAGGTTTGGGATGCAACTGCTGCAGATCCACGTCTTCTTGTTTTTCTGAAAGGTTATCGTAACACAGTTCCCGTTCCAAGGCATTGGTGTCAAAAGCGAAAGTTTCTACAGGTTAATCACACTACTCTTGAAACTTATATACTAGGGAACCGACGTTCCATGCCCTTGGAACTGATTGGAGATGTCCAGAGAGCACAAAAAGCCCGTGTCTGGGTGGTTGTACGTAACAGAAGTTTACAGACGGGGAGCTGTCATTGCCTCTTATTTGGTACATGTGGTTTCTGCAGGCTGCGGTTCATCACCATGTCTGAATAATGGACGGACGAATGGTATGGTGGTGGCAGTGGAGGAGAGCCTCCTGTTATGATGATTTTCTTGTGTCAACTCTACTCTAGACTCTTGTTCTGTCCGTGACCTGCAGTGTTGTACTTCCTGGCTGCTGACGTATGTACTTAGATGGGATGTATGTTTGAAAGCCTGCGTCGTTATGGTAGACCATTATAAAAGTGTGGATCTTATAAATCAGTTTCAATTAATATGTAAAATGCATGCAGATCATTCTACAGTGTAGTCATTCACCTGTAGTCACATGATCAGTGCTCTCTTATGTCCGAAGCACTTCAAGAAGCTATTTGTAGGTAGCCGGCGGCTCTCTTCGTTTTCATCTTAGTTGTCTGATCGGATGTTATGATTCTGATTCTGCAGAATTTGCTGGACGTGCAACTTCTTCCATGTCGATATGTGTAGTATTTGTGAACAATCTAATATAGCGCAGAATGTCCATCCGTATACACAATTTAGGTGTAAACACGATAGTTTTGTCTGGTAGATGACTAGGTACTGAGACTAGAGGTAGGATATAGTAGTTTTGCCTTGCGTATATCTGGTGTGTGCCTGGTGATATTATTACTTGATTTTTTCACCTACATACACATGTTCCAGATATTACACCTCAAAAATGTGACGTATTGAGTTTTTTGTTTCTGATTTTGCGTCAAGCGGATTTGCAGTTCTGACTGTACTTGTGCTTTCAGGGGAAGCGTGGTATAGAGAAACAACCTTTTCAGCTTCCCGATTTTATCGCGGCAACTGGGATCGAGAAAATACGACAGGTGAGTGTGATTTTTTTAGCACGTGTCATCTGCTGTAATTCTTACTAATCCTTACGGTTCAGGAGGTTGTCTTGTGATCGTTCAGGAGGTTGTCTTGAAACTTGGAGCAATCAGATTGTATAACAGAACGATCATTATTACACCTTTCTAAAACCGATTTTCCTTGTCTTTTCTTTCCTAGTAATGAATTTTAGGAAAGCGAGGTACATCTGAAAACTTTCTTGGTGTTGGCACAATGCTGCCACTAGGGTTTTGATTGTGTAATACGTGGTAACAAGTTTGATTGCTCTAAATTCAATTTCGGAGGCATGATTTGGAGGTTTAATTCTATTTCTGCTTTCGTAGACGTGAGATCAATCGTACTCAATCAGAACTTAGTGATACAATTTGCTCCGTAGTCATGTCATGTTATGTCATCAATTGAATATTTTATGCTATGGGCTATCAGGCTTACATTGAGAAGGAAGACAGCAAGAAGCTCAAGCAAAAGCAGAGGGAGAAAATGCAGCCTAAGATGGGAAAGATGGACATCGATTATCAGGTTATTTAACGCGTCACATGCCTCTCATTGTCGAGTTATTATGAAAATGGTCATAATTGTTGTTTGGTTCATTAGATTCTTCGCAGAAGATTATAGAGTATACGGAGAGCCAAGATGGGTTTGTATTGATACATGTTTCTTGTGATCCGCAGGTTCTTCATGATGCTTTTTTCAAGTATCAAACCAAGCCGAAGCTCACCCATCATGGTGATCTTTATCATGAGGGGAAAGAGTTTGAGGTACTTTTCTCACACATAGATATCATTTTATTGTATGGTTCTGTGTGGTCGCAGTGACCTGCGTCTTAGGAAACCTACGGAATGTCAAATGGCTTGATGATTCCAAGCATACATGATAAGGCGAACTCCCTGTGATGAAAGGATGAAGCAAAAGATAAATTTGAAGAACGATGTCTATCTGCTTTAGATTCTTAGTACATTCAACATTTTTTGGACGTCTTGCTGAGCTGAAGATGAGTTGATGCACGAGTCATCAGAGAATGATTTCCTAATTATGGGGTTTGCAAGCCGCAGGATTTGTTAGGTATCCTATTCTAATTTTACATTTGTATTGATTGTTTTGTTTGACTCAGGTCAAACTTAAGGAGATGAAACCTGGCCAACTATCCCAGGAACTCAAGGAAGCACTTGGCATGCCAGATGGTGCGCCTCCTCCTTGGCTTATCAACATGCAGGTGCGTGCAGTTGCTCTCCACTCTTGTGAAGTTAGGGAGTAAATCTTTTTCTTTTTACTCAACATTACACGTGTAACCTGAACTTTTTACTGTTATGAATGAAGACTATTCTGCAAATTTTGTTTTTCATGCCTCTGTTAGTGCCTTTGGCTGACTTTGTCTGCGGTTTTTCTGCAGAGATATGGGCCTCCTCCTTCTTATCCTCATCTTAAGATTCCTGGATTGAATGCACCAATACCAGAGGGGGCCTCTTTTGGCTATCATGCTGGAGGCTGGGGCAAACCCCCTGTTGATGAGGTGGGTGTTCAACCAGCTGTGAAACACTAATGCGCGCAGTGACAGTATCCGCATTGTCTCAATAAGTCTCATGAACAGGAATTTATTGATTTATTGATATTATTTATTTTTTTACTGCTTTGATTGGGTATGTACTTGTTGGCGTGGTGGTAGTGAATTTAAAGATTACAGATTCTGTATCCATGTGTCGTCTAATATGCGTATGTTCTGGATCCTAATCTGCCTAACTTAGACAACATTTGGTGCCAAAGTTCAGCGATTCACATTGTTATGATCGTTTGGGCTGCAGTATGGGCGACCTTTATATGGAGATGTATTTGGTGTTCAGCAAGCAGAGACTGAGACATATGAGGTAGAATGATTACCAGTTTTCCGACCTTTTTTCAGTGATACTAATGTTTTTTGCCCTGATGCTCAACTGTGAGGAATGGATTTATTGATCTGTTTGTCTACATGTGTTCTGATCGTACAACCACCTGTGTCATTTTTCTAATTGCCTTCCTTATTCCTGCGTCTCTGATAGAATATATTTTTACAAGATTTTTTTGTCATGAGTGTTTTCTAGGATGAACCAGTCGACAGGACTAAACACTGGGGTGACCTGGAGGAGGAAGAAGAGGAGGAAGAAGAGGAGGAAGAAGAGGAGGAAGGTGCTGAGCTTGGAGAGGACGAAATGGCAGATGGGGTTTCGTCTGTTGATACTATCTCAACGTACGTGTGTATATTATTGAAATCTAATGCCTTCTTGACTTAGTAGTGAGAAATGACAAAGCGACTGCAGTTTCCATGTATTCTGGCTTTCTCAGTTGCACTTATTCACTCAATTGCTATCTTCATGCACGTTTCATGCAGTAACTTTTTATGTTTATATACTAGTTTTTCCTTTCAGGAATCACTGTATTGTTAGTTGTGACCCTATTATATGGTTTTTTCTTTCTTTTTCTTTTTCTTTTTCTTTTTCTTTTCTAACACGCAAATTCACTTGCTTTGAGCAGTACACCAACGGGCGTGGAGACGCCAGATGTTATTGACCTTCGGAAGGCACAAAGGAAAGAACCTGAGAAGCAGCTATATCATGTAAGTAGTATGCACTGCCGTGAATTTTGCTTAGTAGCGCTTTAAGATGACTTTTCTATTTTCTATTTTCTATTTTCTTTTAATCCTTTACCTCCTTTAGGCAATGAATACAGAAGCTTTAACTTGGATTTCTAATATTGAGCTGCCATTTGATATGGTGATTCAGGTTCTGGAGGAGAAAGAGGAGCGTGCCCAAGGAGGAACTATTTTGGGAACTAGTCATACGTACGTATTCAGTCTATCGGTGAAATTTATTTTTTGTGCTGGCATTCCTGATTCCTTCGCTCGGTATCTTGCACTCGAATTAAATGCTTACAATCCTTAAGGTCTGATCTTTCGTGGATTTTGGCTATGCAGATACGTACTGCCATCTGGGGACAAGGCAGCGGCTAAAAAGGTTAACGTCATTTTGCGTTTGGTTTTTCATCTTGGTGCCATATATTTTTGGATAAAAAGGATTGTTGTTCCATCGTACTTCGGTGGTCCCATGAATCGAATATGTGCCAGTGGCGTTCTTGCTTGTTGCGTACCATGTAAATTTTTTCAACGCTGCGCAGCTTTAGTGGCCACTGACGTAATGAGTTTTGGTTGGTTTTTCAGGGTATCGATCTACTTAAGAGTCAACGAACTGATAAAGTGGACATCACTCTCCGACCGGAGGAGTTGGAAGGACTTGATGATGTGGCCCTTGCAGCCAAGTACGGTCATCTTTTTGTTTTGTTTTGTTTTTATGTTTAATTCATGAACTATGCAGTTGGTAGTTATCTTCCATTGTTGTCTTATTATATTTCAAATACTATAAAGTGATTGCTTTTAAAATTTTAAGATTGATGAGTTAGGAAATCATGGGATGCAGGTATGAAGAGGCTAGTAATGAAGCCACTTTGGCTCAAGGAAGGGAAGATTTCAGTGATTTGGTTGCAGAGGTACACACTGCTCAATCTCGTCTTCTTTTGAATGTCTTTTTGTTCTATTGCATGTATTTTTTTTAATCTTTTGTGACGCAGTATATACATTTCCTGGAGTTTTTTCGTTTTTTTTTTCTGTAGTTTTAATGAACTTCATTGTTCTATCTTCAGGTGGAGAAGAAGCGGAAACGTAAGGCGCAAGAAAAAGATGGTAAAGCAAAGAAGCAAAAGGATTTCAAGTTTTAGCCCTGCAAAGAGATTTTGGTTTTCCTAGTTTTGAACTTGGCGGGCTATCGTTAGGCTCCATGAGCACTTTGTACAATCTGGACTTTTCTCAACACTTCCACGTATGCTTGAGTTCTCGAGAACCTCAGGGACCCTTTCTGAGACCACAGAATGAATTCGATTGGAACGAGGATATAGGGAACACATAGAGTTGACCAATCTTAGCCGCAATTGTAACCTGGCGGCGAATTTCTTCTCTCTGAATTACACAACACTTTATGTGTTGGAAGTTCAAAAAGCGCATTCCTTTTGAGGATTATCAGATTTTCTACCAAGATTTCTCGCTTTGAATTGTTTTTCGATTTCAGCGTGTCCCTACATTTCTCTACGTCATGAAACCGATTTAGCTGCTTACGTTGTGTCCAACGCATTCCTGATGCGATTGTTTTGGAAGAGCTTCATAGCTACACTCTCTTGAGTGATGCTAGCGACGTAATTGCTTCGTTTTTTCGGATGAAGTTGTAGCACTGCCAACAGTTCTGCAACACGCTCCTTAAGATTTTCAAGGAATTTCGGACATGTGTGAAGGACCTGTCGACAGTCTTGGGTTCTAAGAACTGGTACCAACTCTCTCTGAAAGGCCCGCCCGTTACACAAAATGCTGTGGAGCATGGCAATCACTGCATACAATTAAAGCAAGTCTTACAAATTGTCCTTAGTTCTTACGACTGCATCAAACCAGTGCAGCAGCCATAACTTATGATCATAACCAGAGATCTATGGAGGGGCTAGACAGCAGAGTCATGTTCAACCACTCCATGCCCCATACTCTGGGGGGTGATCATAGGATATACATATATATATATATATATAAGAACTAGTGGAAACCCATGCTGTGGTTGCAAAAAAACAATATAAATTTCTAGTTGTAAATTAACCTTTTTGTTTGAAGCTTCATATGACGTGAAACTCCATATTGCATTCCATTCCACTATATTGCTCCACTCCTGGTAACCTTGCAATGCTACTCTTGGCAATCCACAGCAACAACATACAGATTTTGATCAAATGTTGAATTATTGCTTCACTTTTGCCCCACTTTTGATGAAAACAATGAAATATGCAGAGATGAAATTTGTTTCCTCTGATTTATCCAGTCAATTTATCCCCTGAGTTCTTTTATATAAGATATATATATTTTGTTGTAGAGGTTCATTTCGAGGAGGAGACTCTCGTATGCAAGCAAGCATGAAAGGGCCTATAAAGCCACGTGGAATGAAGGTGGTTATAATGGGGACTCACTCACATCAAATGCAGTGTGGATTGATTCTCTCACTTAGGTCACAACGAGGTTGATCCAGCCCAGCCCCGCCCCTCCTCCTTCTTCATCTGCACGGTTTCTCACACTTTCATTCTCTTGCAACACTCACATCACACACGGCATCATCATCCCCATTCTGAACTCAACTTAGCATCGTTGTGCCCAGTTTCCGCTTCTCTTGCTCGCATTGCCCACGTACCCAAGTACTTGTGTGCGGCTCGTCGTGCAGCCTTGCTCTGGAGTCAGTCTCAAGCATGGTGGCCCCAAACCCAGTTCGGTGCTTTGGTGTGGGATGGTTGGGAACCATGCAAGCTGCGTTGTGAGGAATTGTTTTTGGGGGTGGGAGTGTGGGATTTGGATGCTTTTGGCGGTTTGAAGGTGGTGCTCAAGGATGCCGGTGCTGGGAATGGATGGTTGCTGGAAACTGGGGAGGAGAGGGTTTTAGTGAGGATTAGGGAAGGATTATGTCCCCAAGGGTTTATGGAGGGAGCCATGGCAGTGTAGTATTCAGCCTTTTCTGAGGCTCGCTCTCTGGATCGTCCTCCCGCATCGCTGGTGCTCATGGTGGGTTCCATAACCACCGCATGGTGTCCCAGATTTGGATCTCATTTGTTTTGCGCTTGTGGGTCATGATTTCCACCGTTTGTTTTTCTTTTCTTTTTAATGCGAAGGCAGCATTGAAACAAAACATGGATCTGTGGACCGTGTTTTGATCGTGCATGGTTTCTCTGGTTCATGCTTTGTCGCAGATCTTTGTATTGTTTCAATGCTTTTCGACTGTTTTGAACATTGTAATGGGTCAGTAAAAAGACTGTTAGGATGTTGAGCATGAGTTGTTTTTGATTGCATGAAACACGTAAACCAACAGATTATGGTACTATGATAAGGGCACAATGTGAATTTTTGATGAAAGAATGTGCTGAAATATTTAGTAGTAATGCAGTTCAATGTTTTTGTTTGTTTTTTAATTGCTTTTGTTGAATCAGAAGGCTTTTGCTATAATTTACGTTGAATAAATGCATGCATTGGTATAGACGTCGTTTATACGACATAATGAGAAAATTCTTTTGTTGATTATAATCACATGAACACAAATTCAGCATGTATAGCAAAACCAATTAATTAGGTTTACAACTGCAATTATTGTTATTATTATGTAGTTATGTGGTATTACGTGATTTTAAACATAAATTCAATATAAACTATATTGTTTATATATATATATATATATATATATATATATGTATATTTGTTTGTTTGTGAGTGAATATGTTAATAATTATGAGGTTTATATTTTAAGTTAAATTCTTATAATAACTTGTTACTATGTTTATTTATAAGAAAATCCTATCATGAAGAACTCAATGTTAAGGTTGGAGAATTCAGATTAAATGGTTTTTAAGAGAAAATTTGCTACTATGATTGAGAAACAAGTCCATATTGCTGTTCATCAGTACAAAAAGGCAAACATGAAAATTTGAAAATAATGTGAAAGTAAGAGACCTCAGCAGAAGATGACAAAGTCATGATGATTATGTGCAGCGTTTTTATATCTAAGACCTTTTGAATTGATGGTCATTTCCAGTGTTTTTAAAAGACAGTAACTGAATGCATTTGTAAATCTATGCATCTTTGCTATCAAAGTAGAATAAAGACAATACGATAAAATTTAATGAAGCATTACTGTGTAACAAAGATTTATTTTTAATATTTTGAAATGTAATTAAAGTAACACAGATATAACTTGATAATTTTCTGAGATTTCAGGGAAATGAAGAATAATTTTCTTTAAAGTTGCTGGAAAGGAAAGATGGAAGCTCAAAGTCACACAGTAGGAGATGTTTTTCTCGGTTATAACAGATCTATTTTATCTGGAGCATTACGTTCTACTCAGGTAGGGATTTATTTGCACCATTATTCGTTACTCACAAGCTTGTATGTTTTGATTTATCACACAAATTTTACTCAAATTCATTTCTTCAATTAACTGTTATTAATGGACAATATATTTTTATAAGGATTAGTCTGTACCATACCAATCCCAAGAAAATCACATTTGTACAATTTAAAATGTTATTAATTATTACTTCTTTTATCTAAAGTTTTTGACAAGTCCAACTTTTAAGATTTATATTTAAATTAACAACATAAAATGTTTTTTTTTCTTCATTAATATTTCGTGAACTTTTGATAGTTAGTGAGCTATTAACTAATATGATATGTATATCTTAAATTAATTCTTTTGAACATTTATTATCTTATTTTTATTATTGTATTTAGAATATTTATTATTGTATTTTGATATACATTTCATCACAATGAAATGTTTGAACCATATATTATATTTTCATTCTACTAAAGTTTATGTATGTACTACTAGACATGTGTGTGTATGTGTGCATTTTTGTATATTCAATTGTTTACAAAGTTCATTTTAAAAAAAAAATTTATCATAGAAACACAATAAGAATTAACTTTTAAAAACATTGATGATTTATAATTCAAGTTTTTATGTTTATAAAGAACTAAAAATCATAAGAATAGTACAAAGGATAAACCAAAAAACACAAAACGATTACTAAACAGAATGTGTAATTATAAAGGAATTGCATAATCACGTATTACATATTTTAAAAAATAAAAAATATATTCAGTACAGAAAAACATGAAAAAATTATAAAAATATATTTGTAGGAAAAAGAAGAAGCTATAAAACAACAAACAAACTGTAAAAAACGACCTAGATTTTTCGAACTTCTTGCAACAGTAGCTGGACAATTTCTTCAAAATGATGGAGATTTTGAAGGAAATAGTGAATTTATTGACCCCAAAGGATTTTCAAATGATTGCAAGCGTCTAATGCTGGACACCGAAGCTTCACATTTGGTAGAAGTAAGCATGCAACAATCTCCAAAAGAATCTTCACAAACATGCAATAAACCTCAAAGTTCCAATCTAGATTTTCACAAAAATCAAAAGAAAATTGAAAACATGGGTAGTTGCAATTGTGTAAAATTACCAAAATGTGATTCTCTCATACTATGCAATCTTCCAATTCCTTCTTTTGTGAAAAACATAATGAATCATGAAGCTATGCACCAATCAAATGAAATTCCTATAAATAAACATGTCAGTATATAAACATTTTTTAACTTCTTAAAAATACATTATGGTTTACTATTTGTTAGATTATTCATATATATATATATATACTTTTTTTTTGAAATTTATTTACATGTATGTATATGTCTAATTATTTATTTTGAAAAAAATATTATTGAAATGATGCAGATTCCAATTCCAACAAATTGCCAGCTTAACCTCAATATCCATTGCCAAGAGGATATGTTTATGAAACATGATTGTAGTCAAGCAACTGTTGAAGGTGGAAATAACGTTGTTGAAAATGAACAATATATTATTTCTAAAGACCCATCATTAAACAATGACAATGCAAGCAATATTACAAAGCTTTATAATCAAATAAGGGGAGAAAATTTATCACAGGAGGCCATGAACAGAAGCCAACAACAAGTTTATACATTAAGTCAATCACATGATCCGATTTGTGAAAGTTTCAATTTGTTTCATGATTTGCATTTGAATTTTGAAGGCCTTCAGGCAATAAGCAGTTTTTTTAACAACAAAAATAGTGAATCTAAAAACATTGATGCATGTAAAAATACTTGTTTTTCAAAAAAAGAAAACCTTGAGATTTTATGTGATGATTCATTGAATGTACAAACCACAGAAAAAGAACACAATGTTCTAATTAAATCTTTAATTTCTGATTCGAAACATTTGGGTTGTATAAACCCTTCTCGACCAATAAATTCTGTAGAAAATATGGATTATCTTAATTGCAAAACTATAGAAATGGAGGATGTCAAAAGCTTTATAAAAGATCATGACAAGGAAAAAAAATTACAATGTGATGAAATTGAAAGAACAAGAAAAAAACAATTTTCTCAAGAGTCTTTTTATGATGAAATTATGAATAATCCACCAGAAGATATCAAAAGTGGTATCAAACCTTGTGAAACAACTACAAATAGCAACAATGCATTGAAATTACAAAAAAATCAACCACATGAAGACGACCCAAAACCTATGGGTAATATTCAAAATGATTTTTTGTGTGTATTTTATACACTTCAATTGATTATAAATTTATGTTTCTTTTGCATTCATTCATGAAAACACACATCTTGATGTTTACTTGATTAATGTATTTTATATTCATCTCTTAAAATAATTATGTTGTATCATAAATCAATAAAATTTATTTGACATAATTTTTTATTAAGTACTTCAAATTAGTTTTACGTATGGTGATGCTTTGTTAATATATAGAGAATGTAGCACCTACCAAACAAGCATTCTTTAATGGAATAGCCACTTGTACAAGACAAAGAACAAGTCGAAGAATACCGCTAAAGCGAAAGCAATTTGAAGATGGTAATAAATGTTCTTTAGAGCCTCAAATGAATACCAATTATCCAATTAATGTAGAATATAATGCGGTTTATGGGGAACCTCCTGCTGCTGCAGCAAAACTCCGTAGAGGTAAATTCAAACCTCCAACAATGGACTTGTGATAAATTTACTACATTATTGAATAGTTTTAAAAAATGAGTGTGATTTAACATACTTCAATAATATATATATATATATATTTATGATGTCCGCCAGATTTTATTTTTCAATATTGGGAATTTTTCATATATACATCAAGGTTTTGTATTTAATTTCATCTTTGACGTTTCAAATTATAAATATATGAGTTCATTTCTTTTCTTGTTAATGTAAAACTGTTGTTTTTCTACAACTAAAGCAGCAAGTGTGGCATTGTCACCGAACTCCAAAGGAGCTGCAAAAATTTCCACTAAAAAATTTGTTGAACCCCATGGTAATATGAATTCATAATGAAATAAATATAGATTAAATATATATATATATATTATAAAACCAATGTGCCTCCACTTTTTGGATGGTGACAAGTGTCATGTATTTATTTATTTATTTATTTTAATTAAAAAATAAACTTGGTTTTTGTAATTATTCATTTATTGTTCAAGCGATATGTTTTTTATTTATGTTTTTCATTGCAGTTAAATTTGGCATTAACTCATTTACAATACCGGAGTTTTTTGTGGACCTTCCTGAATCTGCATCGATATCAACTCTAAAAGTATGTAGTTTTCATCTGTTATTTCAATTACCCATTTCAAAAAACATTGAAATAATATCATTATTATTATAATAAATTTCATCTTGTCAATTCAAAATAATAAAAAAATTGATTAAAACAAGAACAACTTATTCTTTAAAAAACCAAGAGAAACAAAAGAATATGTATGTATATTTGTATATATACATACATACATACATACATACATACATAAATACAAACATGGTGTATATATAGATGAGAAAGAAAGGGTGAATTCTACAATAGTATTCTACAATAGATGGAGGATGTTAAACATGTAGGAAGGTGGAGGGTGGATGTGGGGTAAGCAGGAGGCAATCATGGAAGCAACCATGCGTTTGCTTGAGGGACCTCTCCGTGTGAGAGTCCTCATGCACGGCAACAAGGTCATGGATGAAGGTGCCACACTTCTACAATCCGGCATCATCTCCTCCTCTTCATCCACCCCTCCTCCTCATCTCAACTATAACTCTAATTCTAGCCTTCACCTCCCAATGGATGCCGTGAGCTTCATGTTGGAGCCTAGTTCTAGTCCATCGTCACCATGTGCCATGTTCGACAACCATGCCTTTCAATTGCACTCTTCATTGTCTCCTTCTGCCAAAGATTTAAGGACTTCTTATGTCCATGGTGCCAACCACATTGATCCATTGCCTTTGCCGCGGTAAAACCTCTCTTCCTATTTCTCTTCCTACTCACTAATTTTTTGTGCTTCTATTTATTATTCATAGTACTATGTTACCTATCACTTTGTTCCTTATTATTGTTGTTGTTGTTGTTGTTGTTGTTGTTGTTATTATTAGTATTTGTTTTCTTCTTTTCAAGCATGTTCCCTTTGGAACTTTTAATTGTAAATTCTATATTTTTTCTTGATTGTTGCATAAAATGCTTTTCCATGACATGCAAGTTTTGCTCTCTTGTTTTGAGATTTTTTACAAGATTTGATATTTGTGATGAATGTCATTTAAAGATGTAGGTTCCAAGCTTATGGTATTTCAAGCTACTCTCATTTTCAAGAGATAGAAGCAAGCAACCGAGGTAATATAGAAACATATATATATATATATATATATATATATATATACACATACACCTACACATCTCACAAACATAATAATATATACACCAAAATTATAATCAATGGTTCTTTGATCCTTCAAAATATATATTTTTTGGTTATGATTTTTATATTTAAATTTTCATAAAATAAAGGATGGATTAAGAAAGAAAGAAGTAAATTGTAGGGAGAAGCAACATATTGGCTACCAAATCAAATTTAACGGAACGGATGGCATTGTTGCCACACTCCATGCGTGTGGCGGCTGTGGAAGCTCTTGCTGCCATCCGTGCCCAAGCAGATTCCAATCGGCGATCAAAGAATGATGAGACACCATTTGGGTGTAGCTATGGTGGTAGAGGTGGGAGTAAAGGAATAGGATTAGGGTTAGGATTGGAGGAGTGTGGGACAAAGCCTATGGTAGTGCACTACCATCCACATGGAAGGGTGGGCATGCATGGAGGAGGTCTTGCCTTAGTGCCTCTACCTACTAAGCCTCGCCCTTTAGACATCACAAAGCGTCGAGTTCGTCGCCCTTTTAGTGTTGTTGAAGTGGAAGCACTTGTTCATGCCGTAGAGAAGTTGGGCACGGGCAGGTACAATAACTATAATAGACAATGAATTAATGTTTTTGTTGATAGAATAACATTTTATATTTATTTGATTATTTTCTCTTATGATACTTTAGTGACGTGTTGAAAAAGAATCAACTAGATTAGCATGTAGGTTTGTTATTTATTGTTGGTTTTTAATAGATAGAAGATTTATAGTATTAATTAAATTTTGTACCAATCCTTTATGTTTGTTGTTATGATAAGGTGGCGAGATGTGAAAATTCAAGCATTTGAACAAGCTAAACATCGAACTTATGTAGATCTCAAAGTAAGTACATTGTTCATATCATAAAATTCATTTTTACGCATTAGAACATATATATACTATTTTGGCTTCTAAACAATGAATTCAATCATATCACGCAAGTTATTTTAACTTATTGATAGTTTCCACATCAAAATAGTTATACATGAAAGATTATTTATTTTTATTTATTTATTTTTTAAAAAATTTGGTCCATTGAAAAGGATAAATGGAAAACTTTGGTCCATACGGCACGTATTGCCCCTCACCAAAGGAGAGGAGAGCCAGTTCCACAAGAGTTATTAGAAAGGGTGACACGGGCTCACACTTACTGGACTACTCAGGCAGCTAAACAACAAGCAGAATTAGACTGTTGATTTTTGTGAATTGAAGGATATACAATGAATACAATTTGGGAAGACTAAAAATTCTTGACTGTCATTGAAGCACAATTGTCAATGTCTACCAAATTCTAGTCCAAATAAATTTTACAAAAATAGATGGCATTGGAATTCAAAAATCATGTTGCTCCACTGTTTTAAATGCATCATGTACTGACGCAAATATATCCAATACTGTCAATTTTGTCATTGTAAATGCTTTCAGTTTATGATTGTTGGTTTGTAGAATCAACAAAAATAAATAAATAAATAAATAAATAAAATTGTTGGTTAAAAAAATTGGTTTCACTTTTATTTCATGCTGCATGGCGTATATAGTTTGTCACAAGTTGTAGTAAGATTAAACGACAAGTTTTCCTAAACATATTCCACTGAATACCAGAGCACCAAGCCATTTATTCGAAACAAACCTGCCAGGAAACAGTGCAATATCAGCAGAAAAAATTGATGCAGAAGAAGTAACCTGTATGACGACACGGACTGATCCCGTTCGATTGGGTGCATCATAAATACACAGTTACTAATTCCACAAAAGAGTCCATATACATGCGCACGTTTGATCATTGAAAATGATCTCTCTCTCGTCGCTCCAATCAACACTGGGAGTTTAAATCTTACAGGAATGAAATGACAATAATGCTGCCGTTCAAACAGACTTACTTGTCATTGCAGTCAGCTCGACTTTGAGTGTCAACAGTGGAGATTTGCCATGCCAGGTGTCCAGCAGTAGCAGCTACACCAACATAGAATGGCCAGCCTGGTTTAACAAATCAGACAACATTTATCATAGAGTCGAAGAGCGAAAAAACCACAATCTAGAAAAAAGTAGTCTTCTATGAAAATAAAAATTGAACAAACGGCTCGCATCACTCTTTTACCGCTATTGCCCATACATAATGGCCACTCATCGAATATAAGAGTAAATGCCATTTAATCGAAGGTCAGAAGTACCATCAAAACATTTCAATGCTTAAATAGACTACAAAAGTTACCTAGGGCTGCGTTGTAGCCAGCAAGGCTCATGCCACTTATTGATGCAGTGCTGAACCCTGTGAGCCACAACCGAGTATCCTCGCCAAATCGTAGGGCCGTGGACTTGACACCAACCTTAGTGTCATCCATCTTATCTTGGTGAGCATATATTGTGTCGTATACAAGAGTCCAACCCACACCTGAGAGGTAAAGAGGAAGAGCGACTGAAGCGTCAAGACTTCCTCTTACTGCTGCCCATCCAAGCAACGCGCCCCAGTTGAATGTCAAACCCAAATACGCTTGTGGCTGCAACCAACGCCATCCTATTACCATATTTCTTGAATTGCTGGGTGTTTAAGTTACCAAGGAAAGAATTCCCTACTCTCCTACAAACCATTTACATCAAACAATCTACGCTTTCCAAAAATGGACCGTTTTCAAGAAAGGACAATGACTTGCTTGCGGAAAAAGTGCCTAGATACAGGTCTGATAGAATTGATACAGTACGTAGAAAGACATACTCGCAGGACCGTTGCTTACCCAAAATGTCCATCGCTTCATGAGAGGATACGTGCCTACAAGTAGTAACGATGAGGCTCCCAACACTTGGCTGCACGATCATAAATACTAGTGAAGAAATGCTAGACCGCTATACCACAGAACATAAAACACCCATGCTCATGAACTACATCAGATTAGAACACTTACGGCTTGAGCAAAGGACACAATTGAGAAAAAAGCCTAAAACAAATGCCACAGTGGTATTATGTACAGTGTTTAGCACCGTTAAGTAACAGATACAAAGCAAAGAAGAGAACAAGAAAGACCATAGGATAAAAATGTTCACGCAAACTCTCTACATACAACCAAGATTTGCTAATCCTGTACTTCGATTCTTTTTGCCCTTTTCAGAAACAACTTAAAACGCTTATGTTTTGGTATGTTTGTCATAAGAAAGGCGAACAGGCTGGCTACATTTAAAACCGAATGTTGCCCAAAAAACCATCACATACTTTTAAAATTCTCCTACATTCGTCCTCTGGTGCACCATCTTCAAGTCCATATTCGAAGGAAACACCTCACCTGAAGGTATTCAGCTGGAGCAAGATTCCCAATCCTAACAGTAGCTGAACTCCCAAGAATGTCAATCCTTGAAAAGGGGTCAGTGCCCCAGATACAATAGGTCGCAACCTAGTCCTCTCTACCTGCAATCGTCAAAATAACACATTTTATCGGCTTTTCAAAGGTACGAAGTTCAAATTCTGAGAATCGAATACTAAGCCCGCATCGGTATGAAGGTTATTACACACACACAATCCTCAATTATACAAGATTGAGTTGCTTCAAAGAAAACTTAGCAAAGTAGACGCAGGGGGGGGGGGGGGCTTCAATGACTTAAGCATATTTCATGCTGAATATGATGAATTTTGTAAGGCTCCCTCATCATGCTTCTCACCTTTCCATCAATGTCGCGATCCAGCAAATCATTGACAGTACAACCGGCGCCGCGCAAAAGTATTGCACCAACACCAAATAGCGAGAGCATTTTCAAATCAGGATACCCCCCAGCTTCCGCTGCTATAGCTATTGACCTGTGTAGGCAAAAGCCAGCGTCCAAACCAGCTCCCAAACTTAATCTTCTCTATTTTCCAAATAAGAAATCATATTTGAACAGTATAACTAGCAGACTCATTGTTGCCTGGGCACAATACGCTGCAATATCAACTCAAGCCTTCACACGAATCTAAAAACGCTTAGGCCGTTCGAGGATTTATTGAGAAGCAAAGCACAAACAAGGAGAGGTAAATTGTGATCCCTAAGCAGTTGCCTAAATCTACACAAGTAAACCATCCAAAATGAAAATTTTGTCGTTGTTATACAATCGTGATTACCAGAAGCAAGGCCACGCCAGCAGCCAAGTTCCGATAGGTTTGTCAAGACGCGCCAGATATGCGTATGGTCTGAGATGCTTGGGTACAACCTTTTCAATCCATGACACTCCAACACTTACTGTTGCATTTTCCTTCTTGGTTCGTGCAACCTCCTCTTCGGGTTCCTTTGAGACCTCCGCGTTGCTGCCAGTCGAAAACCGCGCTAATTCACACCTTCCGTAGTTACAGGGACTGGAAAATATCACATAGGGTGTTTCTTTACAGAAAATTTGCTCTCGCTTCAATCCTCGGTGAATATTGGAGTAAGTCCATAATTGACTGAGAGTAGGTCCTACTTGTGTTAATGTGTTCTGGAACTCTGAAGTATGCCAACGAGGTCTTACTTTGGTTATGGATTCTTCATCAGGCGCTGGAATCAATATACTATCGAAAACTGGTGTCCCTGGCATCTTTTCCAACAAGGAGCGACCTGAGACACTCGACGAAGAATTTACCTTATTTCTCGTTTCTCTAAATTTTCTAATATCGCTCTTGTCCCAAATATCTCTCTCATGTGTTCCAACGGAACTATCTTTCGCTCTCAGCTCATCGATGCCAAAGCGCTCAAACAGCAACAAAGCAGTTCCTACACGATTTGTGTGAGGTTGACAAATCTCCCTCAAATGCACATTATCATCGATAGGCTGAGGCCTGGCGGCATCTGCCGAAAAATTAACGTGTGCAGAGAGAGCCCTATTCGAACCCTGACAAAGTCGCCGCAGAAGCAATGAGAGCTTGGGATTACCGCGGACGAGAGACATGATTTCGATCAAGATAATAAATTCACTGTAGAAAACCTCATATCAGTCAAACCCATGTGCGTCTAAAAACTAAAAATCGTACCCAAAATGTCTCATAAACCTCCGTTCCGCTTCGTTCAAAATTGAACATGTACGTCCTAGACTCTCCACCGAAATCGCAACACGGCACAGCCATCGTCACCGCACCACGCGCCAACCCATCCACCGAATCATCACAGTTGTTCAACCTTGATGAACATAAATGCAAAACCCAATTCTACAAGAGTCAAAACTGAACAACGACGCTTTCTCCTCGGAGCTGAGATGCCACCGATGGCCAGGCAAACCCATGACCTTCCATTGAAATGTAGGAATTTCGTAGATTCTACAGCTAGGGTTTAGGGTTTTGGGATGATCTGCCCTTTTGTCACCTCAGAGCTACGATGTCTGCAGCTCTACTACCACTACTACTTTGAAAACCTGAAAAAGTTTTGGAGATTCTTGCCAAACGTGTGATCAGCGAGGTTCTTGTCACCGCACGGAACTAGGGTTTAAGGTTTCAGGAGTTTCATTGAAGTGTATTGGAGGGTGCAGTGCAGTAAGTTACGAATTGTTCAGTGCCTGAAGAAACATTCGTGTTTGATCCTCTCGAGATAGTATTGTACAATGCCGCTTAGAGGAAGGAAGCGGAAAGGGTACCCTCAAAAGGAGCAAATCGTCAAAGATTCAGAGGATGCGGAAGAGGAGAGTTTGGGGCAGGATTTCGAAGCAGTGAGAGGGGCGAAAGATGGCGGTGCGGCAGGGGCAGGGAATGGAATTTTTGCAGCCGGGCGGTTTCATGACCTTGGACTCGCGCCTGCTTTGAGCGATCATATTCATGGTTAGAGCAGTTTTTTTATTTTTTTTTATTTTTAGTTTTCTAACGCATTCCTTGCTCAATTGGAGTCGTCAGTTGCTTTCTAGTTGTTGTACCGTATTCCTCTTGTGCCTTTCGTTATGCTGTAGGTTGAAACGTCCTCCATATGTTACGCAGGGCACATGATGTTTCAGTTATCAATTCTAGTTGGTCTCAACATTTTAGGGTGATTACTTGCTTTAGAGACAGCACCAAAAAAATAAAAATTCTATGATGACAATGATTCTGTTTCTCTGATTTGGAGCAGATAAATTGTCTTTTTCGGCGCCAACTTTGATTCAAAAATCAGCTATACCGATAATTCTCTCTGGGCGAGATGTGTATCCACTCACTTGTTTCTTAGTTCATTTGCTCCCTCTGTTGACCTCTAGTACCTTTCGTTATTTCTATCTCGTGATTGACGACTGGTTTCGTGGACAAGACAAGCGTTGGCTTCTTAGATGTCTAGCCTCAACAGTCGTCAATCTGAGATCCCGCCGTGCTTTTATTTGACCGTGTTTTGCAGCGACTTTTATTCTATATCTCTCGTAATTCTTGAGGTTATTGTTGTAGAATGACGTTCAGGCAGAATACTTTCTTGTTGCGAGATGTTTTCATTGACGGGGCCCTACAGATTGGTGAATTCTGGGACTGGATCAGGCAAAACGATGGTGTATCTTGCACCCATCATAAACGCGCTTCAATCATATGAGCCTCGTTTAACTAGAAGTGAAGGCACACTGGGTATGTGAACTCGATTCTCTATTAATAGGATCATTATGAATTGTAATCACAATTCATTGGTAAGTTTGGTTTCGGAAAATGCTGTCCACGTTAGCTGCCAGTCGTCACGACAGTTTTTGACGTGGGTAGACCTAATTTTCTGAGATTGTCAGAGTTACCCAATCCATTATGAAATTATTCAAGTTTCAGAAAATTCTCCGTGAAGAGTGAGGGGAGTCTGACGGATGGGGTTGACAGCGTTGGTGCTTGTGCCAACTCGAGAGCTTTGCTTGCAGGTCTGTGAAGTGGCAGAGAAGGTAGTGCACCGCTTTCATTGGCTAGTTCCTGGCTGTGTAATGGGTGGTGAGAATCGTGGCAAAGAGAAAGCCCGGCTTCGAAAAGGTTGGTATTCACAAGCTGGGGATCATACTACATGATTACACAGCGTTGTATAGTATCTTCATTATAACTTTGTTGCTTGGCACAGAGTAGTGTAATTTTAACAAGCAGCGACTGCAGGTTCCAGTGTATGTAGGTATCCACCGTATTGTATAATCTGTCTGAATAGGATCTCATATATTCAAACTTCTGATTGAACAAGCATGCCCAGGTGTAGGAAATATGTATCAAATTTAATTTAGGCCCAAGAGAAGTAGTCAGTACCTGTAATTTCTTGGTTAGACACTACATTGTCTTCGTTTATGCTGATTTCTGAGGTGGAAAAACTTGATAGGTGTTACAATCTTGGTGGCTACTCCTGGACGGCTGCTGGACCACCTGAAAAATACAGCTTCTTTTCGGCATGATCGTCTGCGTTGGCTCGTCTTTGATGAAGCTGACAGGTACATTTCAGATGCTTTCGCCACTTTACAATGATTCATAAGTTTCTATTGTAGCATTTCGCTTGTAAACTATTCATCACTATGAAATATGTGACTCTTGATCACTGTCTATGGCATATAAGCAATCAGTTTATTTGTAACTCTCTTGAGTAGCAATGACGCAAAGTTCCTTGTATGACATTCCTTACCGCCCTTTTTTCCTTTATCTAAAAAAGAACTTGTCCACAATCCACAATCTCCAGCCAACATTATCAATGGAGTTGCTAATCCAGTTTTGCTGCATTTATGCAGATTGCTTGATTTGGGGTTCGAGAAGGATATTGAAGCTATCTTGGAGGTGCTGGGCTCCAGAGATGATAAGAAAAAAACCCGACAACATATCCTTCTGTCTGCCACTTTGAATGAGCGTGTAGAACAGCTAGCAGCCCTCAGTCTGGTTAATCCAGCCACTATTGGTCTAGATGAAGCAATTTCAGCGGAAATGCCTTCTCTTAGGGAGACGAAGAATGGAGCTGCAATGTCTCAACAAAAATCTCTGATTCATGATAGAAATACGGGAGATACTGGTCCTTCAGATGGATATACGGAGTACAGGATTCCGTCACAGTTGGTTCAAAGTTTTCTTAAAGGTATGCCCGAGCTTAGTATCTTAATTGATTTTACGTCACTCTTTCAAATGCTTAATTTGTAAACTCTTTGCTTGAAGAGATGGGATATAATTGAGGTTATCGGGCATCCAAGAATGCAATGTGCAGTTGACCCTTTGGCTTGGTGGTTGTCTTAATACGAAAATCACATGATACAATTCGTTGATGATTTAAAGTTCATGAATATCATTGAATATCATGAATATCGTGAATATCATTGAATATTTGTTTTTTAGTCTTTAGGGGGGTCTCAAGAGAGCGATATTTATCATGTCTTTTGTGTTTTGCTATGCAGTGCCTTGCAGTCTCCGATTAGTAGCTCTATTAGGTCTTCTTCAACAAAAATCTCGAGGAAATGGTTCTTGTAAGGTATGATAATTTCTCTGGTCTGAAGTTATGATTTGCATAACAATCTTTACCTCTAGGCGTGGGCATCCTCATCTTTGCAGCGTTTTTCTGAAGTCTCTGAGGAAAGATTTGTATAATTGACACACAGAATACTACTTCAATATCTCTATATTTTTATTATTGGTGGTGTGATGGAATCTTCATTTGGTATAATGTAGGATACAGCCACTATATTCGGTATGCACTTTCTTGTTCTTGGTGTTGTGCAATACTACAATGATACTTTTCACTGACCCAAATTTAAGAGAGGCTTTGGTTACTTTTTTCTTTTGTCCACGTGTGCTCAATTGTTATGGAAGTATATATTGAAGTGCATCTTTGTCTTTCACATTCTTATGAGTGCACTTTCTTTGTGTTAAAACAGCTAGTTGTATTTTTCTCCACCTGTGACGCGGTGGACTTCCACTACACAGTTGTGAATGAATTTCAATGGTCTCCGACTCCCTGGAAAGATGGGAGAGAAAACGATGAGAGAAAGCTTCTTAGTTGTGAAGCTTTCCGTCTTCATGGTAGCATGGCTCAGAAAGATCGGACAGAAGCATACAATCAGTTTGGCAAAGCAAGCTCTGCGATCCTTCTTTGCACGGATGTTGCAGCTAGGGGTCTAGACTTTCAAAATGTCTCGGGCATTGTTCAGTATGAACCCCCAGGCGATGCTGCTGAATATGTACACAGGTGAGAGCCGTCTGGAAAGTCTCGCTATGTTGGTAATATTTACATATATATATATATATATATATATATATATACACATAGAGAGAGAGAGAGAGAGAGAGAGAGAGAGAGAGAGAGAGAGAGAGAGAGATTAATTAGGAATAATTTGTGGCCTATAGCGTCATGTATGTACTGCAATAGGATACTTTTTCTTTGTTAAGATTGAACACTATGGTTTGTAGTTTTACAAGTTGATCGACATGTGCAAATCATGCAGGGTTGGGAGGACAGCAAGGCTGGGACAGAAAGGAGAAGCTATTCTTTTTCTACAACCAAGTGAGTCAGAGTACATGGAAGAGTTAAAGAAGCACGGTGTGACATTGCAAGAGCTTTCATTGCCACAACTGTTAGATAGGCTTCAAGAGAGGCGAGGCAAAAAAGATGATTTCTTTTCGGCTGTGGAAATGCATCCTCTCGCAGGCTTGATGCAGAAAGCTCTTGAGGCCTTTGTTGCTGCAAAGGTATCATCCGACTTATTGCCCACTTACTATCAACATATGAGCGTATTGAAAACAAACTTTAGCAATCATTAGTGTTTTGCTGCATAATATCTGATGCTCATTAGGCAAGTCATGTTGATGCAGTAGCTGTAAATGCCTGAGCCACTTTCACTTGTATATTCTTCATTAACTCTTGTTTTTTGCTTTGCCAGCCGGATGCTAGGCTACTCGCTGTAGATTCTTTTCGTTCCTACGTGCGAGCTTACGCTGCTCATCGAGGGGAACTGAAGTCGATTTTCCAGGTGCGGAAGCTTCATCTGGGTCATGTGGCTAAGAGCTTCGGCTTGCGTGATGCACCTTCATTATTTGGCAAGTCTGTGAACAAGCAAAATATGAAGAAGGAAAAAGAGAGGAATGTGAAGAAGCGTTTCAAAAAGAAGAGGCGTCTCACACCTGGAGCTATGGAGGATTAGGCAGTGCTAAGTGCCACTTTACTTCTTGACTGCCGTTTTCATTTTTGCTTTTAGAAGATCCACCTTAGCAATTAACAGAATGGAATTGTCCTTCACGATAGGCGTATTTTAACAAAGTATGTTAATGATCCAGTTTTGCTTGTATTGTGAACGAAGAGTATTTATCCCATGACTTAAGGATGTTAATCATGATGGCGTTGATTGTAAAAGAGTTGTTGTCAGAGGAATCACCCGTAAAGAATTTGAAGCTTTGAATGCCTAAAAGAATTGGTTTATTACTTTTTTCGCTGAAGCCTCATGCATTTGAAGATCCATGTAAAGTTAGCATCCTTCTAAGCCAAGTTCTAAAAATATAGTAATTTCAAATAATAATTTTGAAATTTTTTCTATAAAAGAATAATTTCTCAATTGCAAGACATTTAAACTCTCAAACTTTTTCCAGACATCTTTGTTATGTAGCATGTACAATGCTTTGTTTGCTAGTTCTTCTATTAATTTATATTTCTATGACATGTCTACTAGAAAACTTTTTAAACTAAGAAAATGCTTTATTAGCAAAAGAAATAAGCTTAATTTTTCTTATAACAATATTTGATGCAAAAATAACAATATGACAATTTAGAAATTGAAGTGATGATAAAGAAGCACTTTTATTTTACTAATATTGTTGTTTATGTTGTAAAATAATCCCTTTAAATATAAACCAACACAATTAAATATGAGAAAATATTATAATTTATAAATTAATAATGTATTTAATATACACACAAATCTAATTAGAATATAAGGTTAATTTATTTACATAATAACTTTACATCAACATACATCTAAAACAAATAATAAAAATTATATAAAATAAAAAAAAAAATCCAACTTTAAAATATTAATTTTTTTTATAAGTATTAGTTTTCTACATACCATTAAGGTAATAGTCAAGTTAAATTACCTTGTTTGATAATCTATGAGATAGATCTATATTCAAGTTCTACATTTGTAGATATTTATACTCCAATTTTTTTTCAAAAATATTTCTATCCATGTCTTGCAATTGAGCATGAACTCTTATGATTCCATCTTTATCTACTTTTACTAATGATTGGTAAATTAATGTATCTGATACAAATTCTACATCTTGTTCAAATATGTATTTTTGGCTATTGGCCCATATTTGCAATGTTCTTTCTTTTGACATGCCTTCTAAACACACATCACTACAAAAGAAATAACATATGTCCAAAAACATGTTCTTATCTTTAACTTTCAAATTTCCAAAGCTTATTCTTAATATCTTTTAAACCTTGTAGTTACTATTGTTTTCATCACCATTCAACTCTCTTCCCATTTTCAATTTTTTAAAAGTTTTCTCCCAACATCTCAATCTCTTATTTTCTCTTAAAAATGCTTCTATTAATTTTAGATTCAATGGTCGGCCATTGCAAGTTTTAACAAAAAAATTGCCAACCTCAACAAGTTCATTAGACAGATTTTTGTGGCCACAAGAATAAATGATAAATAGTTTCATACTTGTTTCTTCATCAAGTTCTTTCATATTTATTTAAAAAATTTCTTTACCATAATGCTCTATTATTTTTGAATCTCAAGTTGTTGCAATCAATGCACTACTATTGCTAGCAAATATGTCATCCATATATACAACATCTTCAAGTTGATTTTGATTCTTTACATTGTCAAAAACTAAGATGGTTTTGTTCTCCATCAAGAATAATTTCAATATTTCTTGAACTTCTTTTACATTATTTGGTTTTTATTGAACTTTAAATTTTTCTAAAATATTGCAAGAAGTTGTATTGCAATCACCACTACTTTCAATGCACTCAACAAAATACGAGGTATATATATATATATATATATATATATATATATTTATATGTATATCTTTTCTATCAATCAATATAGCCCTTGCAATTGTGTTCTTGTATATTCCATCCATTCCAACAATCTACAATGCCTTCACTTTATTTGCACATTTTTGTCTTATTTGTGATAAATGTTGAGCTCTACTAAATATTTCTTCTTCAATTAAGTTAACCTACATTTAGAAATTTCATCCATAAATCAACAAAAAAATTAGAATGATATATATGTTACATTTGAATATGGTCTTACTAACTTGAGTTCATAATAAGGCATCTAAATATCATTGTAGCATAAAAGAGTGTATACAAGTATAAAATATAATCAATAAAATCAATACAATTAATTCAATACATATCCTCTATAGTTTTTAGTATAAATCTTATCAATAGCAATCTATTACATATTTGCTATTTTTTATTTTTTATTTTTTATTTTGATGAAAATTATTTTTTGATTCCAATATATGCAATACTAACTCTAATTAAAATATTTCTCTTTAGTAAGTTCAATCTATTACAAATATTTGCAAACTTTGGATAATGCAAAGGATTCAACTTCCAACATTCTTGAATAAGTTCTATCAAGTCATCACAATTTGTAAAGAAAGTTAATAATTTGTAAGAAAAGTTTATATTTGATCAACTAGAGATGCTTAGAAGAGGCAGCCTTGAATTCAAAACTCAACATCTATCACTACTATATTTATGTAAAATTAAATATAATACAAAATATAAGTTTGAGGGAAAAAAAAGAAAAAAGAAAAAAGAGAAAAGAAAAACTTTACTCATGTATTTAAATAAAGCATTTGAAATATTTAATGTTTTTTGAAGGATTATAATACATACTAATTAAGAATCAAAATTTTGTGTAAGTGCATCAATAATAATAATAATAATAAATAAATAAATGAATGAAATGCATATTCTACAAAGAATAAGACTGTCAAACTAGAAGACTAGGACAAAAGCATTGTTTGGAGAACCAGCAAAATAAAAATGTATGTATTAGATATTATCTAATAACAATTTCATGTTTGTAGTTGCAAGCATATATAATTTTTCCCCTAAAAACTTAAACATCATACAGAAACCATTTTAATAATGATTTTATTTGATTTGATTTTAAATGTAGAACATTTGTCATAAAATCATCAAACACTAAATCCTATATTAAGAGAAGAAGAAACCTTTTAAATTCATAGTTTTAAGACAACAATTTTGAGATGGCAAAAAGTTATTGAGCTTTAAATGCATAAAGTTGCCCCTTTAATACATTCACATTCATTTGTGTCAGGTATATTAAGTCCAATATATGACAAGTAGGACAAGTTGTATTGTATATTATACAATATAGAACGAAGTTTTCAATGTCCCATATTAAAAGGGCATGATCATACAAGTCCTTAAAACAAAATTGACCTTTTTTTAGTAAAATGTACAACCATGCAATTTACAAATTTAAACATGAGATTTTTCAAAATTAACATAAGTTTTAAAATTCCATAGTAACATAAGTTAACACATGTCCAAGTAACATAAGTTTTAAACTCATACTTGAAGGATTTTATTAATAAATATATATATATATATATATATATGACTTGACAAGTTGGTCTCTGAGAAAAAATTATATTATCATCAGTGATCATTTATAAAAAATAAAAAATATTTTTGGGAATAATTTAACATCACCTGAATAAATGTTCCGGGGCGGGCAGCAGGGGTTGACCGAACCAATGGGGGGTGACCGAGCAACCCTCCGCAAAATAGATGAAATTCATACAAACAACGAATGATTTACGGACATAGACGGATGAATCCGAGGGGTAACATCGGCACCCTAAGGACGTGCACGCGAAGCGAGGGCAACTCGCGAGGCGTTCGCCGGGAAGAGAAGTCGCCGCCGCGACAGAGAAGCAGGCGTGATGGTGGCGATCGGCAACGAACGTGCACCGGCATCTCTCGCTCTCTTTCTCGCTCGCTGGCTCGCTGGTTCGCGTGCTCTGCTTGGGAAGCGCCGGGCGAGGAGATAATCGATACATCCATCCTGGGTGCCCCCGTGACTGCGCTCTGAGCCCCGAGTCCAGACGAGAGCTTCGACGAGCAGCTTTCCCAGAGCCCTGATTTGTAGCCACCCATGAGAAGTGGAGCAGACCAGGTCGCGGAGGAGGACACTAGCGATGTGCGCCTGAATCGGGCCACCCTTGGATCCACCCTTCGATAGCCCGTCCACCTCCTGCCATGGAGCTTGATCGTGCTAAATTCTAACAGCCCCCACCTGCTCCGCCGGAGGCCGCGCCGGGCGCCTGGCGCCGCGGCTGTCTCGCTTTCGGCCCCGATCCCGGAACCCCGCCTCTCCCACGTGATTCCCTTCCGTCGCTCCACTCCCGCCTTGTGTTTGCAATCCTTGCCTTTTTGTTTCTTTAATTATGGCGCTTTTTCGATCCAGTCGTGTTGAATGCCCTTCCTCGGCAATTCAGACTTCTGGTGGCATCTGCACATGGCCAGCACTAGGGAATCGGTTTAGTTGGGTACTGTTGGCAGGGTGCGAGAGAGGGAACGAGGTGCAGGGACGCGGGTCGTGGGTATCGGAAGTGACGACGAGCCAGCGAACTTGGATCTGTGTTGTGGTATTCTGCTGGGGTAGCACTAGAGATGTTCTATCCGATCTAGATCTGCTGGTATTGCTTTTGGTCCTCGAGGAGGAGGGAATGCGACTTGGGCAAAATCGCTAGCGTTGGCAATATAAATCTGCAAATGTGATCGGTTCGGAGTTGACGTTTCGCATATCGGGCTGGAGAATGTTTTGCAAAGAATGACGGCGGTGGTTACCGCAACTAGGGAGTGGAACATCCAATGTGCTTGGAACAGGTTAGTTGTTGTATGGGTGATTGTGGCTTCGAATTAGTTTATGCAACGAACTTTTCCTTCCCTTCTGTAATCATATAAGGACATAAGTGGATCTGTTGTTGTCCAATGTCGATTTAGTTTCGTGTTGCATTCTGGTTTTGTCTGGCTGTTATATAAATCGATACATTTTTTCAGTCTCGTTGGATGGACTGCTGTGTTGTGTTTTAATGGCTTGGGGTTGGAGCGTAGTTTCTACTCTCCACACAGCTTTTACTGACTTGCTCCAAAACAAGAGCCAGAACCATAAGTTAATCCGTATCTATAGAGTTTTGCTTTATATGATTTTCCCGAATCGAGTGCAGAAACAATGCTGTGCTTGATTCCACTGAATCGTGTTTGAGACTTTCGTGACGGAAAGTGCCGGTCAAAGTCAGTGATGATGTGCTGTGTCTGGACGTGCCTGTTTTCTTGCGCTATAGCCGATAGATTGTACTTTGTTTGTTGATCGTCTTGGACTCGGCACTTTTTTCAGCTCTACTCTGTCGGGATTCAGAGATTCTGTACTCCGGCATTGGGGTCGACTTCGAATCCTTAAAAATACGAAACGCTGGGATGAAACTGAATGATTTGGTTTTCTTTTGATGATACATCGCGGCGTCAATTATCGAAAGTAATCGGAATTGACTCGTTGGGAAAAAAACGACTGTTCGGTCTGCAGATGCAAGAGATGACAGTCTGGCAGTTCCATTTAGAATCCTTCGAAACTTATGGACCTGTCCTAATTACATTTTACATGTACTTTTGGCAGGATCTAATTTTCTAGCTTCTCAACCGAAACGAAAGGAATTTCTGGAAATGCACAAAAATTCGAGTTCGAATTTTCCAGTTGGGATTTAATCAGTCGAGCCAGCATCTGGCTTTTTCCACCATGGGAGCAGAACTCCTCTCAAAAGTAGAGAATAGCCCTGTATCTCAAATTCGTAAACCAGAGAATGTTGAAGTTTTGGATGTGTCCCTGTTAGACAAGCCGATGAAGGAGGTATCAGATTTCGGTGACACCATTGGCAGTCCGGACTCGGTATTGAGCGCAAGGCCACAGGAGAAAATAAGCGAAATTTCGAGTGGCTTCGAACCCATGAATGATGCAGAATCCTTCACTTTCGACACTCCCGGAATTACCACTAGAAATGGAGATTTCGGTGCCGAAAAGGCTGCAGACCTAGATGTTCATGCTGGAGAGAAGATATATTCAATTGATCCCACTGGTGTTGCACCAAAGGAGGCTCTATTTCCGGCTACTGTTGTCAATTCTGATAAGCCTGAGGATATTTCCGGCGAGAATCGTAATGCTCTAGAAGCTGTGCCTTCAATGTCGCTAGATTCATCTGCCAAGGCCAGTATTGCTAATGAGATTCAGGAGATGGAGGAGATAAGCCTTGAAGAAGATCGAGGGCAGAGTACGCCTGTTGAGAAAGGGGTTGTAACATCTGAGTCACAGCTTGGAATGAATAAAATGGGCACTTCATCTGAACAGGTGGTTCTCCCTAAAAAGTCTGTGTTGCAACTGGTAAAAAATTGGTCAAATACAGATGATTCTGATGCTGCTGGGGGAGGCACCAAGCCGATAGCCACGGTTGTCAAAACAAAGCAGATTGCTTCACTTCTGAAAGCTAAGGCTGATGACTCTGCAGCTGGGGGAGGTGTCATGAAAATTTCTTCACTTTTGAAAGCCAAGACTGATGACTCTCCGCCTGGGAGAGGCGTTATGAAAATTGCTTCACTTTTAAAAGCCAGGACTGATGACACCGCGGCTGGGGCAAGCGTCAAGCAAGTTGCTACGGTTCTGAAACCCAAGACCGAGGACTCTGCAGCTGGAGGGCTCGTGAAGCAGTTGGCTACAGCTTTGACTGGAAAGGTCGATGAAACTGCGACTGTGGGAATCTTCAGTTCTAATCCCACAGCCACGACAGTCCAGACAAATGACTCCGATGTGGATGAGGGAGGTAGCACCCCTGATCCCACAGTTACGAAAGTCCAGACTAATGACGCCGATGTGGACGAGGGAGGCAGCACCCACAGTACTACGACTGTGAAAACTACTACTGATGATTCTAATGCAACTGCAGGAGTCAGCAAGCAGACTGCTACAGTTCTGGAAGAGAAACATGTAGCGGAACCGCAATCGAGCACAGTCGACTCAGAAGTTGGTGAGGAGAGCACAATCGAGTCAAAAGTCAGTGAGGAGAACACTGTCGAGTCAAAAGTCGGTGAGGAGAGCGTAAAGGTGGACCCTCCGGTTTCCCTTGAAGCTCCTGCAGCCGAGTCGCAATCGGCTGTAGTAGAGGCCTCGGTAGCCGAATTGCAAGTCAAGACCGAAGTGGCTAAACCTGTTGAGAGGCCGGAGCGCGACGATAAATTCGCGAGCGCAATTGAATCTCTTCCGACTTCAAGATTTGCAAGAGGCGAGTTTTTTTATATGTTATTTGAACTGCATGGTCCTTCATGACGCTGCCCTTTGTCACGATAGCATGGAATTAATTATGTATAAGCATCACCCTTTATGTCTAGCCGCGCAATCGAGTAACGGATTGGATGTCATACCACACGAAGTTAATTTAATCTGTATTCCCAATATTGAGGCTCACGGGTTCTTTGTTTGTTTTTCAGCGGCGGAGATTTTGGAAGCATCTGAGCCTTCAACTCCTCCTACACCTGAAAGAGCTGGATCGTCAGTGATTAGGCTTACAAGACAAATGTCGCGGGTGTCAACAGGGATGGGGCCCATGTCTCCAAGGTTCGAGCTCCGTGCAGCCAAGGAAATCCAAGACCTGCAGGAAAAAGTGAAAAATTTGGAAGAAGAACTGAGAAGAAAGTCCGCGGCGTTCGAAACCCAAAGCATTAACTACAAGGAGAAGGAGAGCGAATTGCTGAACAAGATCGAATGCTTGGAGCTTGCGAATGAGCAACTGCTTCAAGGTGGGAACGACTCTAGCATCCAACTGCAAATGGAACTGACACGCCTGCAGCGACAAAATTCCGTCCTTCAGCTCCGCGAGCGTGAGCTGCAGTTTCAGATCAACACGCAAGAAATGATCAAGTCCCAGATGCTGGACAACAGGCCTGCTAAAGCGGAGGCAACCAACCCGGTCAACGAGCTGGAGTCCAAAGTCGCCATCCTGGAATCCAAACTCGCGGAAGCCGTCGAGGTGAGCAACATGTACAAAATCCAGCTCCACGAGGCTTTCACCCGGCAAAAATCCGTGCAGTCCGCTGCACTGCTGAACCTGGGCGACGGTGAAGACGTCCTGAAAGAGCTGCAGCGGTTGAGGAAACAGACGAAAGAGCAGGAAGCTGAGCTTGTGGACTTGCAGGACCGGTTCTTCATCACAACCGTGCGCCTAGCCGAGGCTGCAGCTCACAAAGAAGAGCTCCTCTCCAAACTGAAGAGGATACAAGGCGTACGGTAGTTCCTTCCCATCAGTTTTTTCCACGGGATTTGCCACACCGAAGGTGGGTACATGATTTACCATCATCCTTGTCATATTAGTGCCCAGAAAGCTCATATGCATTACATGTGTTAGCCACAGACAAATCTATAAGCTCCGGCGGCGAATCCAGCGCTGTAACTAGGCGGCGCCGTGTGTAACCTCCGCAACAAAGCGCTAGTGTAAGCAAGCTCCACAACTAGTGAGCACTAGACAGATCTGTCTCGCCGAGCTTTACTCGGTGTTGCAATTGTCACTAAATCACTGTCTTCCTCGTCGAAGGATCAGTCGATCAGTCGAAGCATCCCCACTGCTCTCGATGCAGCTGTCGGTGGAGCCACTCTTCACCATTTTGATGTTGTTTCTTCACATCCGATCAGCCTTTTTCTAGTCCTGATTCCCTTTTGTTCCATCCGAGTTGTAATAGTGCATTCTTTTTTGTTAAGTCTAGGGTAGCCAGTTTAGTTCCAGTGGTGATCATTAATACAAGTGAAATGTCGAAATGCACGATGTCACTCTATTTCTTTTTCGATTTCTTTTGCTCTGTAAACTTCTCATGTAATTTATTTTCCAATCAAATTGAGATTGAAGTGGAGCAGAAAGAGTCTGTAATGAATGCATGCGTAGGGGAGAAAGTGTGATAAAATTATCATAGCTGCTGTTGTAAGTGTAATTAATATACACATCACAGGTATATATTAATATACACATCACAGGTGTGGATTGTTCAGCCCGTTCTTAAAATGTGGTTGAAATGGTTAACTGCAGTTACACAATTCGTAACACGCAGATCCCTGTGACTTGGCACAGAGAGAGTATTCTGGTTGTTTTTACTTACCTGTGACCTCGAACTGGGTGTTATGAACTAAAATGATCGGACTGCGTATAAATGCCCGCCAAACCCCTCAAGTTTCTCATTTACCGCCATACAGGGTGCATCATTGTGCTAGTGTGATCAAACAAACCCTTTCGCTGCACACGCTGAGTCGTGGTATACCTTTGCATGACTTTTATGTTAATATGATCGTTCTTGTTCGAATTGGTTGGCACAATACTTTAGGATAGACAACAAATCTTCCGTGGGCAAGTATGGCAATACCCCAATCCACGGAAGAATGTTATTCCCCATTTTACCCCATGTACGAGTTGTTTACCATCGACGAAGCATCACTAGGGTGGCAATGGAATTCTAGCCAGGTCATTCAATGTGGTTTCTCATGTTTCGACCACTTTGACTTCATCATGAGATCCCCGCCGCCAGAAACACCTCCACAACTGGCGGCACCATTACACCACCTTCTGGGGCATTGCCACAGTACGCATCCAATTGTAAAAAATACTGAAGCAAATACCGTCCACTCAACATTCCTCCAAGGCTGCGAAGACAGCCTCGCGACAAGGGAGCTCCATTACAATAGACTCATTGTGGAGGTGAAATGGTTAACATGAACGCCTTTCTGAAGTTTCATGTTCAGAGCTTTCCGAGACAAACCAGCACAATCAAGCCACAGGACCTAACATGACATGGAATTGGGCTCAAAAAAAAGATGTGTGAAATCACATCAATTCCACATTGGATCGAATCAAAAGGGTCTAGATCAACTAGATCTTTGTCAATGAGGCAAACTTATCGCCTTCACTGACTTGTCCAATCGCTGAAGAGGCCGCGATTAAAGACGGAGTCTGGCAGTTTTCACAAGACTGTTTATAATACCATCACAAGATTTGTCTGTAAATAGTCCAACCATTGGGATTTGGGTTTTGGAGTTGCCATGTTGATATGAGTTGTGTGGGTGTAAATATTTTCATTTTATGAGTAATAGTTCCATATATAGAACGGCATTCATGAGATTTAGTCTTCTGTAGTTCTTGTTGAATATATTTTATGTCAAATAAAATATATATTTTTTGTATTTCTGACATCTGAAGAGTGATATAAATAATAAAATAAATATAAAATTAATATCAATTTTTATGTGTGATCAATTCACATATCACAGATGTAGATTGTTCAGCCCATTCATAAAATGTGGTTGAAAGGGTTGAATCATCAACAATAAGTTTTAGAATGGTTTTCAAATATATTATTATATTATTGCTTTGGATCATTTTTACTTCTTACGCATTGAATCTTAAATGGTTAGTTATTAAATTATTTGACTTTAAGAAAAAAATATTAGATATATTTGAAGATGCTTGTTTCTTTAGAAGTGAAAGATACTCTCTTTTCTAGTTGCATTAATTTACAATTAATTTGAGGTATTCTTTCAATTATAAAATTGATGCTATATGTAATATGTGTACAAGTTATATTTCATATTTTAGAAAATAATAATTGCAATGCATTTTCTATGATGCTAATATTGAAGAATAAGAAATTTGAAGTTACAATATATAGTATTAGTAAGGTTGTACACAAAGAGAGTATGAAATAAGATAACTCTCACTTCCATCACCCATTACTTATAGGTGGTGGTTGCTACCGTTATAAGCAATTTCTATTCTTTGATGAATATATCCATCCAACATTTTACCAAAACTATCTATTGATATTTTATCTATTATAAAGATATGTTTTTAGTATATTTTGTATATCTTTAAAATCTTTTATTCATTCATCTACCTTGTCTCTTAGTCTTTTTATATATCAAGAGTTAATTCTTTGACTATTAGCAATTTACATAAGATAATATCTTCTATAAGGTAATTTTTTCTATTTTTATTTTTACTTATTTGTTTTAATACTCCTACTTTGTTATTGATCAAAGGCTTTCAATCCTAATACCTTTGTCAATATGTGATGTCTATCTTTTAGTAACACCTTTTTCAAAAAATCAAGAAGCATGTCTTTTATTGCATAGTATTTTATATCAATTACTTCTATTTCAATCTTCTTTTTTATGAAGTGATGTTAAGTGTCAATGTGCTTGATCATTAAATAATGCTTTAGATTCTTTGTAAATACAAGACATCCTTAAATGTCACACTCCAATCAAGTTGCTTCCATTTGCACTATTTCAATGTCCTTCAAAAATTGTATTAGCCATATTACCTCAATTACATTATACCTTGTTGTTATGTACTTCGCATCTATTATTGACCTTGCAATTGTTGGTTGTTTCTTGGAATTCCATGAAATAGCTTCCATTCCAACAAAAAAATACATATCTTATTATTGACCTTCTATCATTTGCATCTTTAGCTCAATTCACATCACAATAACCATGCAAAATAATGTTATTACATCTAAGGCATAATTTGAAGTATAAAGTGCTATTTAAATACATCATAATTCTTTTGATAGTTATCCAATAAATTGATCTATCCTTTGACATGCATTGGCTGATAACACTCACTCTATATGTAAGATCTATCCTTGTGCCAACCATTGTATATATAAGTAAGCTTGTTGATATTTTGCATAGAATACCTTATATTTGATTTTCAACTTCAACAAATTCTTCATTTGTAAGCTTCACCAACTTCAAATTGGTCTCTAAAGATGTTCCAATAGGCTTATATTCCTTTATATTGAATCTTTTCAACATCTCTTTAATGTACATGCTTTGATTCATTGTAATGATCTTTTTAGCACAATTTTTCAAAAAATCTACTCTTAAATAATAGTGAAGCTCTTCCAAATTATTCATTTCATACTCTTTTTTAAACTTTGTTTTTAACTAATCTATCATCTTTATGATATTGATTAAAATGATCAAATTATCATCTTAGAGGATGATAATTAATATAAAGTCATTTGATTGCATGACATATATGGAATGATCAGCTTCACTTTTTACAAATCCTTCATTTATAGAGAATGTGTCAATACATTGGTACCATGCCTTTGGTAATTGCTTAAGCCCATACAAGGATTTTTTCAACTTACAAATAAGATGTGTGCATTTATTAACAAATCTTTGAGGTTGATCCATGTAGATGTCTTCTTTTATATTTCTATTCAAGAAAGCTATCTTTACATCTATTTGATGCATTTCCAAGTCTATTACTATCTCAATTGCGACAATAGTTTTAATAATGGTAAATTTGGCCATAGAAGCAAATGTTTTATTGAAATCAATACCAACAACTTGTGAGTAGCTTTTGGCAAGCAATCTAGCCTTGTATCTCAAAATATTATCCATTATATCTCTCTTATTTCTAAACACCCATTCACAATCAATTGAAGATCAATTTGATAGAAATCGAATCAATTTCAATGTTTTATTGTCTATGAGTGATTTCTACTCTTTTTCCACATCATTTTTTCTTTTCATGGTAATTGACGACTTCATTGCATTACATAAACTCAATAGATCAATAAAGACTACAATGTTGATATATTTTTTTATTTACTTGAGGAAATATGTGATTCTTCCACTATTTACCAAGTTATTTTTTATCTCTCAAAGGATATTTCTTTTCATTTGATGAAGATTCACATTCATACATTCTAAAGTTTCTTGCAAGCTTCTTATCTTTTATAGCTTATTTCTTCATATTTAGTGGTTAATACTCCTCATCATCAACATCATCAACATCTTCAACATCTTAAATGTCTTCATTGCTAATTCTAGAAATTGTAGACATACTTTGATCTACCTTCATTGGCTTTTTATTTTGATTAATATCTCTACTACCTTCATTTTCATAATTATTTTATTTTATTTTTATTAGAATTGAAGATGTTTCCACAAACATATTATTACTCCTACTTAGACACATCTCTAAGTACTTAGAAATACTCTTATATTTCAAAAACTCTACATCACAATTCTTGATGATTTTCTTGATTTCTAAATATATTAATTTATATGCTTTAATACCTTTATAATATCCAATAAACATACATTTTTAAACTTTTGCATTAAATTTGGACCTCATATAATTGGATACTTTACTACAAATAATGCATCCAAAAATCCTCATATATAAAATACAAGGTTTTTTGCTATCCTAAGCTTCTCATAGAGTCATTAATTTGAATGCACTTTTAGGATTTATATTTTTTATATATACTACAATAACTATGACTTCTATTCAATATTCATGCCTAAGATTTTGTGCATAAAGCATACTCCTTGTCATTTTCACAATGGTAAAAATTGTTCTTTTATAAATTTTATTTTATTGTGGAATGTAAAGAGTAGAGATTTGTTTTGCAATACCTTGAATCTTCAAAAATCCATCAAAATACTTTGGTATATATTCACTTCCATTGTTCATGCACAATACCTTGATCTTGTACTCACATTGCTTCTTTATAAGTACCTTAAATTCTTTAAATCTTAAAAAACATTCATTCTTTGCTTTAAGGATGTAAATCCATACCTTTCTTTGAAAATCATCAATAAATATAATAAAGTACATTGATCTTCTAATTGATGGCATCCTTATTGGCCTACAAACATCAAAGTATATAATTTCTAATAATTTACTAATATGTTTTGTAATTTCATTTAAAAAAATATATATTTTTTGTTTGCCTTGTATACAACCTTTACAAGTAAGTGGCATGGCATTGTGGTTGAATTGACTAAGATCTAAGCCACTTATTATGGATTGGAGCTCCTTCATGATTTTGGCATTCAAATCACA